TAAAAACCTTGGATATCAGCAATGGACGTTATTCGAGAATTTTAAATGGGATATCTGACGTTGGAATCACCGCTGTTGATAAAAGAGGAAGAGCTCCATGTCCTAATAAACTATCACAGGATGTAATTGATAAGGTAAAACGACATATTGATATGTTTCCAAAATATACCAGCCATTACACCAGACATTACAATCACCGTAGACGGTACCTTCCTTCATTTTTGACCATAAGAAAAATGTATAAGTGTTACCTAGAGCATTGTCAAGAAAATAACGAAGCTCCTGTCAAGGAATGGTGCTACAGGAGAGTGTTTAATACCGAATTTAATCTAAGTTTTCATCATCCCTTGTCCGATACTTGTAATAAGTGCGATAAGTTCGAAACATCAATAAAATCGTGCATAAGTGAGTCAGATAAAAAGAAAATACTGTGCGAGAGAGAGCTTCATCACCGAAAAGCCGAATCGGGAATACAAGCCAAAAAAGAGGCAAAAATAGTGGCTGAAACTTCAAGGAATGAAGAAGTGGTATCAGTTTGTTTCGATCTACAAAAAACTTTACCTACACCAGCACTTACAACCAACAAAGTGTTTTATATGCGAGTATTATGGACATATAATTTTGGAATCCATAATTTGGGCAAGAAATGTGCTTCAATGTATATGTGGGATGAATCGGTAGCATCCAGAGACTCTATGGAAGTTTCTTCATGTCTTTGGAAATTTATTGCTGGTCTTAATCAAAATACACGACATCTTATTGCATTTAGTGATTCTTGTTCGGGACAAAATAAGAATAAAAATATTGTGAAATTTTTTATGTATGTGGTTAAAGAAACTCAGCTAGAAATAATAGACCACAAATTCCTTGAACCGGGACATACCTTCATGGAATGCGATGAAGATTTCGGAGTCATTGAAAAGTACAAAAAGCAAGTACCTTATATTTTTGTACCCAGTGAGTGGATGAATGCTGTGAGAAACAGTTCTAAGAAGTTTAAATGTGAAGAAATGAAGATGGAGCACTCCATTTCACTCGAAAACTTCAACGAGTACGTGCAGGAAAATATTAAAAAGGATGATGAGAATAAGCAGATAAAATGGAGAGAAATAAAATGGATTCGGTTTGAGAAGAAAGACCCATTTACTATGAAATTCAAGTACACTCTCAATGAAGAGACTGAATTTATAACTGTTAACTGTATGAAGAAGATGCGTGGAAGAACACCTCAGAATATTAGTCTTAGCAAACTGTATAGTTCACCCATGAGTCTGAAGTATGAAAAATGGAAGAATTTACAAGACCTACTATGCTTTGTGCCACCAATTTACCATCAATTTTACAATCAGCTCAATCACACTGCGAAGAAGGGAAAACAAGGTCAGAAAAACAAGCCAATGCAACCTGAAGAAAGAAAAGAGAAGGACAATGAAGATGACGATGAGGTAGACGACAATGATAAAATACTTTTGAGCGACTATGATGATGAGGAAGATATTTAGCTCAGTTGGTAGCACGTCTATATAATATCATTTCGTTATTATTTTTATGCATTTTTTGTTCCTGTATTTTTGTGCAATATACATTTTGTTTTCGTATCTAATGTAGCTTCTTAAATAAATGTTCAAAAAATTACGTGTATTTCTTTTATAAAAGATATTATTTATTTATTTACTCATGGTAATATTTACTTGTACCATTTTTACTCTAAACAACAAAAATGGTACATGTACATTTTGTAAAAAATGTTTCAAAAAAACTAAATGTATATGATTGTAAAAACTGCACATGAAAACATTAAGAACTTACTAATAATAATATCTTGATTAGATTTTAAAATTTTGTTTGGTCTTTTTGTGCCACTACTTAAACTTTAACTCTCATTTTCTCAAAACTATCTAAATGTCACTTGTACCACTTTTCCTCTCAGCCCCTCAATTCATATCGTGTTGTTATTTATCTATCTATTATCTTTATTTAAGGTTAAGTTATCTCTGTATAACCTATCGATTCCACGGTGTATAAGCTGGTCTAGGTCAATGAGAAATTATAAAAATTATTAGTAAAATCCTATGGGCTGAACAAAATATGCTTTAAAAAACTATTCTAAAAATCGGAAATACAGAATCTGTATGAAATCATATAAATATTGTGCGCAATCATTTATATTAATACTTGATAATCTGCCGTATAGTTGTGAGCTAGTGAACTGGTGTACTTGCCACGCATTGTAACCTTGTAAGGCATTATATAGTGTTCTAATTTTACTGTGAATATTATTGGCCGAAGCCACCAATATAAATGCACTTTGAACAGGGTTAAATTGCCGTTGAAATCAACAATTTTCTTATAAACTATACAAATATGTAACATTTCCGATATTCCACGTTTTTCCGGGTTTTATTCAACATTTTTTATAGTTAAACGAATATATTACGGGATGGTACAGCGACTCAAGTCTGAAAAAGGAAGGAAGGCGAAACTTATACAGAAACACTTGAGGAAAGCTTATTAATGCTCACCAAAGCCTCACCAATCTACCTACATTAATCCTTCAGTAAAGCCGGTTTTTTCAAGAAGACCTTTTGCGGCAGTCAAGGTTAGGTGGGCTATAAACAAATTTTAACCATAAAGTCCACCGGAATAGATCGAATATATCCAGCCCTTCTACCTATATTTTTTTAGCAAAAACGCTAGAAAGACTCTTAGAGCTGAAGTTCTGATGGAAAAACCACTCAGCGTTCGTCAATATGCGTATCAGCCAGAAAAGTCAACAGGCTTGGCGCTGGATGATCTCAGTAGATTGGTTTCAAAGTCATTGGAAGACAAAGAACTAGCGGTAGCGACTTTTCTAGACACGGAATGAGCGTTTAACAACGTCTCCTTCGAATCTGTAACGGAAGTGCTAAAGTGAAGTGGTGTTTAGCAAATAGGACCACCGTCGCCAGGCAATAGTAGTCAAAGGAGGTTTTGCCAAGACAGTCTCAGAACGTTAAGCGAGGTGGATAACTGGTGTAAAGCTGAAGGCCTATGGAATAACCCGCAAAAACAACAGTTCTTATCTATACCAGAAAAAATGTACTACAAGGATTACGTCCATCGGTGCTCAGGAGAGTGGAGATTCCATTTGTAAGTTAGGCCTAGTACTTTCCAGATTTTTGTGGTTTTCCAGAAGTTGATGTGGAATTTAAACATTTAAAATATCACACAGAAGGCTAACATTGCCCGTGGTAGATGTATGGTAAGATGTCCAAAAATGAACCTTTGGTTATACATAAGGATTAAAGCCCATGATGACTTAGCTGTAGAGCCACGACAACCGCCTTTACAGATGCATTACAGGTGTTGCTAAACTTACCACCATTGCACATATTTAGGCCAGGTCAAAGGTACACAGGCTAATACAGGGTCAACCTCCTATTAAACACACATTTAAATATTTCAGATTAAATTTTAAAATGGTCTATTTACAACGCCATCTTTCTTAAGCATAACGCAAAAAAATGATCAAACAATGCTACATCAGGAGATAAAGACGGACCTCCTTCTGAGCATACCTGTAGATTGAATGGTCTAGTATGGCTTTGATAAACATTTTAATATCATAGTACCAAACAGGGACAACTGGGAAATGGTTCCACCACTAATAGCAAACTCAGGTTGGTATACAGGTGGCTCCCAAACCGAGAGTACAGGGGCTGGTATATACAGCACAAGGCCAATAACCAAGGCTTGGAAACATATGCCATCGTATTTCAGGCAGAATTGCTTCTATACAAAGGTATGCCATGGGACAATAAGTCGGCAAATGGAGAGTGGCTCAATCGTGATCTACTCCGACGGTCAAGCAGATCTAAACGTCCGCAGTTATATGCAGGTTGACTCAAAACTTGTGTGGAACTATTTGGATGCCCTCTCCAGGGTTGGAAGAGATTGACATTAGCCTGGGTTGCAAAGCATAAAGGTTACGTAAGCAATGAGAGGGCTGATAAACTGGCCTGCTTTGGAGTAGCGAACTCACAAAACAGCGGCCACTGGTAAATGGGTGCAAGAAAAGTCTTTTAATTGGTGGAAAATGCTAGAGTTCGTTAAGTCAGCCAAATTCACAGCTGACTTACTGACTCACAATCGAAAGACTGTCGGGTAATAGTTGGGCTATTGACTGCACCTTGTAGGCTCAATAAACATTGAAGAGTATACTCGCGGTTCTGTCGTAGAAGAGGAAACCAAGTGAATCTCAGTGTGAAGAAACCAAAAGCATCAACCTATATGAAATGGCCTCTCTCAAGGCTGTGGAGAGAATAGAGTTCCTAGAGAATAGGGAGAGAATCCTATCATTAAGAGAATAGGGTTGTATGAGGAGCTTTTCAGTGACACAATAGATATGTAACGATCGCAGCGTGTCAGACCAAAACCCTAGTTGTAAGTTGTTTTCCTAACACATTCCAAAGCAAACGGCTAAAACAAATTCAATAGATTTTAATCCATTATTTTGCTGAAAATTTAAGGGGTCATAAAGGTCCCTAGTTCTGCGATCGGGCTGAAAATTTGTACACAGTATTTTTTGTTATCAAAAATAAGTGCAAAATTTAAGAGAAGACGGAAAGGATTGAGTACCTTACTTTCCTCACTTATAATAACTTTTTGAGTCAAATACTTCTTTGCTAAACCAGTTTACTATCCATCTGAAAATAGTTGTGCATATACTGAAATACTTCACTTTAGAGAATTATGTTCATAACGAAATTGTGTTGTAAACTTATTAATAAATTTTCTAAAAGTTTTGATTGTTTATTTAAAAAATGTAATAATTAAACATGGAACAAGTTGATGGATGTAATTCAATTTAAGTGACAATTATAAAACACTTAAATCTTAAAATGTAATAGTAAAAAAAATTTTAACGTTTTAAAAACGTCGGTTTAGATAATATGAACATATCATAAGAAGTACTAACCACACATTTACATATTTCGAATTAAATTTTTAAAATAGTCTATCTACAGCGCCATCTTTCTTCCTTCTATAGAAATTTCAACGGCTCGTCTAGTTTGTTTCAATCTCTTGCTATCTATGAAGTTCTTGTAATGTTTCTCGAATCTATTTAGACCCTTCTTGGTTGTCTGGAATATAAAAGTTTGAATTGAAATTATCCAACAATTAACATACAAGAAAAATGGAAAGTTTAGGTTTTGAATGACGCTAAGTTGAAATACAGTGCGTTAAGTTTTGGATTAGGTATACACTCTATAAATGGCAACACTGCGCGTCTTCGACTTGCACTACATATCTGCTTCGTTGACTCGTCGTTGCACGTCGCCCGTCGGCAAATTTGTCATATTGTCATTATACCGTCGTTGTTTAAAGGTATAACAGCGTAGAGTTTTAATTTATTTTTGTAAATATGTCTGTTTATATGGCCGCGGAAAAAGCTCAAATAATAAAATGGTTTTATAGTGGCAATTCTGCGCAACAGTGTGCAGATTTATTTTCTGTGTTTTTCGAGGGAAGACCAATTCCTTGTGTACAGTCAATTTATAATATTGTTAAAAATTTTGAGAGTTGTTATTGCCTCAAAAATTGCAGAAAATGTCACGCTCGAGAAGTGTTACCCGAAAAAGTTGAGGAAAGAGAATACCGGGATACACAAATTTGTGCAACAATCGAGGTAGATTCAACACGTTCAAGTAGAAGCGTTGCTAGAGAGTTAGATGTTAGCAATGTTACTGTAACGAAAGTATGGAAAAAGCACGGTTACAAGAATTTTAAACATTCGAAAACGCAGCAGCTTTATCCAGACGATTACTTTCGAAGAATGGAGTTTTGTGAAACTCTAAGAACGAAGGTTAATAGTGAACCAAATTTTATTAAAAACATTTTATTCACTGATGAATCTTCTGTTTCGTTAGTAGGGAGACACAATCCTTCCATTACGAGGTATTGGGCGCGGGAAAACCAGCACAGAAGTGTTGTTTACCGAACTCAACGTCCTCAAAAAGTTAACGTCTGGACTGGCATTTTAGGAGACCACATAATAGGTTCATTTTTTATTGAGGGCAACTTGAATAGTAGAGTATACCTCGATTTGTTACAGAATCATGTTCTTCCCGCTATTCTCAATCTTCCTGATGTAAATCTGGAGAATGTTTGGTTTCATCAAGACGGCTGTTCAGTTCACAACGCTCGAATTATTAGGGAGTATTTAAACAATACTTTCCCGAATCGAGTTATCAGTGGAACAGGCGATATTAAGTGGCCTGCGCGATCTCCAGATCTTACACCCATGGACTTCTTTTTTTGGGGACATTTAAAAAGTATTATCTACGCTCATCCTGAGGCTAGAGCCCAAAATGTGGATGAATTAAAAAATCGAATAAGAGAAGTCTCCAATTCTGTTACAGCAGAAACTCTTTCATCTGTTCGCAGAAGTTTTTATGACAGATTGGGGTACTGTTCAGCCGTAGAAGGTCAACTATTTGAACCATTTCTGTGGGTCATAAAGAATTATTTTTTATTTTATTAGGAATAATATTTTAATTTTCAATAAGAGTATATTTTTTATTTTATCTTTTTAAAGAAATACGCTTTTATTTTTAATTCAACCACAAAAAAATTTTCACATTAATAAAAATCGATAACAATGCACCGATTAGTTCAGCGCATTTTTATCGAATTTCCTTCGAATCGGCTTCGTAAAATCGGCTTTACGTAATGAAACATGAGATCGGACGACAGAGAAGTATATCCCTAACGTTGTTGTGAGTTACTAAACTAAAATAAATGATTTTCTGTCGGTGTAGATTTTCGGGTCGGAGAACGAACATTTGCAACGTTGCCGATTTTAGCGCTCCGTATAGTGTGCAATACCTAATCAAAAACTTAACGCACTGTATAATGTCCTGAATGTAGCATTTCCGGTGCCAGATAATAAAATATCTCAAAAGAGGTTTGATTTAGGTATAGGGAATACCGATACCAATCGAATTGACTTAAAAAAAAATACGGCGGAAAACGTAATGAAATACAAGGTATTCTATTTAAAATAAGCAACTTTTAACTAAATAATTTAAATTGAACATGTTGCTGGCTACATGGCATGGCATGGCTTGGCTACAAGTTTAAAATACCCTGTGTAAAAATATCAATGAGTTGGATACATTGAGTTAACGGACAAGCGCTTGTTTATTGGTTATAATTTCATGGCACTTAAAGTAGCCACGTATTTCCGTGATACTGTGTAACAATATATGTATCTGTAATAAAATCAGGCAATGAAAAAGTACTCTACCAAGGGTCTGTAAAATTATACGACTCAGACGTATAATAATACAAAGTTGCTACAACACGTTGAAGTTGCTAGTTACTAGTAATAACTAGTAGTAGCTAGTAGTAACTAGTAGTAATTAGCAACTTCAATGTGGAGTCATATGTCGCCATGTTACCTAATCCAACGGTAACTTTAACATCTTAAATTATTATAAGAAATTTTGTAAACTAAATGTGATTAACTATTTGTTAACGGGTTTTTACCCATATATTTAGTGGCTACATTCATGTACTAGACACTGATGATGGAATATGGATTCCGAAAACGTTTTGTCTGTCTAACTTAGCCCGTTTGGGTTTTTAAATATGTACCTTTTACAAAGGATTTTTAATATTTTTTTTTAATATATGGTATACAGCCAACTACAGGAACGTAGATTCCTTGTGGATTTGTACCCAAAAAGTATATAAATGTTAACATCGTGATATACTACCTTAAGTAACTTTAAAAGACAGAGGGATTGATACACGATGAACTGAGTTGAAACTTCGGTTCATAATACTATACTTACCCTACTAATATCTACTTCCGACTGCCATTTGGGTCGATTTAAATAATCTTTATTTGAAGGAATAGGTACCCTAGCTCGTGCAACCCAACCTTTATCTCCAGGTCTTAGTGGTCTAAAAAAAATAAATAGTATTTAACTCGAAAAAATGTAAACTAATGTATTTGCAATATAGAGTACTAACTTTCCCTCTGCATTTAATGCTTTATTAAGTTCCTTTCTTTCTTGTGCTGTTTCTTCATCGCTTTTTCTTCGCTTGCTTCCAAATTGTTCATGGTCTCTTTGGAACCTTTCCTCTCTGCTCAAAGCTAAAACATAAATAAGATATTAATAGGTACTTATATTATTATGAATATCACAACGTAATAAAATAATTCTTAGACACAGAATGTGTAGAAAACTAAAGATACATTTCATAGTATTAAAAGAGAAATACAGGCCACACAGTAAAGCATCAAAAATAAGACATGGAAAAAATGGCATGAAAAAAATAGCAAGGAAAAAAAAAGGAGAGAATCACTACTTTCAGAAACGGGATACAAATATATACAAAATGCTAACCACAATGGTCATAGGTTAAAAGTTAAAATAAAAATAGATGTATAGGTGAGCAAAAGTATATCAAATTTTTAAAATAAATATTACCTTTAAAGTCTGTAGATAAATTGAAGATAGGTCTAGCCCATTCACTAATCAGTCTTCCAGCCCTCTCACGATTTTCTTTAGTTTCTTTGGGATGTTTATACAAATACATCACAGCTTTACCTATACCAGATTGTTTGATAGTGGACTGGTCAACTTTGGGAAACTAAAAATATTATTTAATGTAAATTTAACATTTTAAACGCCAACGTTCCCATTTTTGGGAACACAGTAAAAAATAAGTTGGGTTCAAAAAATATTAAAATATTTGCAAATATTGTAACAAATATGCTTTCTGTATGTCCCATTCTTACTTTCTGTTAACTGAGATGTTTTTTACTTACGGGATTCATCTAAAAACCGCGTAAAATGACCGCGTCCAAATTCCTGTCACTTGCTTTTTTGTGCTAAAGTTGTTACTGCGAGTCGATATGTACCGAACTTTTATTTATTTTTGAATAGAAATACAGTAAATGAATTATATAAAGGAAATATTTCCAAAAAACACCTTTATGTAACTTATTTCTACATATACAGTGCGTTAAGTTTTGGATTAGGTATACACTCTATAAATGGCAACACTGCGCGTCGTCAACTTGCACTACATATCTGCTTCGTTGACTCTTCGTTGCACGTCGCCCGTCGGCAAATTTATCATATTTTCATTATACCGTGGTTGTTTAAAGGTATAACAGCGTAGAGTTTTAATTTATTTTTGTAAACATGTCTGTTTATATGGCCGCGGAAAAAGCTCAAATAATAAAATGGTTTTATAGTGGCAATTCTGCGCAACAGTGTGTAGATTTATTTTCTGTGTTTTTTGAGGGAAGACCAATTCCTTGTGTACAGTCAATTTATAATATTGTTAAAAATTTTGAGAGTTGTTATTGCCTCAAAAATTGCAGAAAATGTCACGCTAAAGAAGTGTTACCAGAAAAAGTTGAGGAAAGAGAATACCGGGATACACAAATTTGTGCAACAATCGAGGTAGATTCAACACGTTCAAGTAGAAGCGTTGCTAGAGAGTTAGATGTTAGCAATGTTACTGTAACGAAAGTATGGAAAAAGCACGGTTACAAAAATTTTAAATATTCGAAAACGCAGCAGCTTTATCCAGACGATTACTTTCGAAGAATGGAGTTTTGTGAAACTCTAATAACGAAGGCTAATAGTGAACCAAATTTTATTAAAAACATTTTATTCACTGATGAATCTTCTGTTTCGTTAGTAGGGAGACACAATCCTTCCATTACGAGGTATTGGGCGCGGGAAAACCAGCACAGAAGTATTGTTTACCGAACTCAACGTCCTCAAAAAGTTAACGTCTGGACTGGCATTTTAGGAGACCACATAATAGGTCCATTTTTTATTGAGGGCAACTTGAATAGTAGAGTATACCTCGATTTGTTACAGAATCATGTTCTTCCCGCTATTCTCAATCTTCCTGATGTAAATCTGGAGAATGTTTGGTTTCATCAAGACGGCTGTTCAGTTCACAACGCTCGAATTATTAGGGAGTATTTAAACAATACTTTCCCGAATCGAGTTATAAGTGGAACAGGCGATATTAAGTGGCCTTCGCGATCTCCAGATCTTACACTCATGGACTTCTTTTTTTGGGGACATTTAAAAAGCATTATCTACGCTCATCCTGAGGCTAGAGCCCAAAATTTGGATGAATTAAAAAATCGAATAAGAGAAGTCTCCAATTCTGTTACAGCAGAAACTCTTTCATCTGTTCGCAGAAGTTTTTATGACAGATTGGGGTACTGTTCAGCCGTAGAAGGTCAACTATTTGAACCATTTCTGTAGGTCATAAAGAATTATTTTTTATTTTATTAGGAATAATATTTTAATTTTCAATAAGAGTATATTTTTTATTTTATCTTTTTAAAGAAATACGCTTTTATTTTTAATTCAACCACAAAAAAATTTTCACATTAATAAAAATCGATAACAATGCACCGATTAGGTGAGCGCATTTTTATCGAATTTCCTACTATTAAAATCGGCTTTACGTAATGAAACATGAGATCGGACGACAGAGAAGTACATCCCTCACGTTGTTGTGAGTTACTAAACTAAAATAAATGATTTTCTGTCGGTGTAGATTTTCGGGTCGGAGAACGAACATTTGCAACGTTGCCGATTTTAGCGCTCCGTATAGTGTGCAATACCTAATTAAAAACTTAACGCACTGTATCACGTTCAGCATTGATTGTTCCTAAAATGGGAACGTTGGCAACAGCGAAACACTATTATTCAAGGTTCCCTAGAGAATGACCGCGCATAATTGTAACGGCTTGGATTAGTCGTCACGAGCTTGCTAAAAGAAAACATGGTAGTTTTGTTACAATGGAAAAATGGATATATCTTTGGATCCAAAAAGTTTTTATGGGTAAGTTGGTGGCAGCAAAAAAAAAGCATAATACTTGGATATATTTTTATACACTTAGATCATCTACACGAAGGAATAGATTTCTAATACATGCATTAGACGATGTGGAAGCTTCAACGTCCGCAGAACCAGTGTTATTTTCCACCTGATATCAAGGTACTGAAAGCGACGAGGATACTATTGACGATCAGGTGTTAGATATTCCTGATATACCAGACGAAGTGCCCGGTGAAGTAGAAATTCACGCTTATGAATCTTCCGACGAAGATAAGGAAGGAAATGTATCGGTTCAACGTAAATGGAAAAAGAGTGAGAAGTTTGGAATTCAAGCTCAAGCTTCTACACCATCAAGAGTAGGCGATGAACACTTGGGCAAATCTGAGTTTTCATTATTTTTCACATCTATTTTTTTTTTTCATTATTTTTCACATCTAAAATAGTTCAATTTATTCGTCATAATACCGAACTCTACACTCACAGAGATAAAAATATTCACAACTTTAATGTTTCTGAGGAAGAACATCGTCAGTTTTTGGGGTTACTTTTGATAAGCGGATATCACCCTGTTCCTTCTGAGGATGATTACTGGTCTACTGCAGATGATATGCAGGCTCTAATTTTTTCTAAAATAATGAGTCGGCAAAGGTTCCGACTTGTAAAACGTCATCTTCATATTTGAGATAAGGCCAACCTTGCAGTTGGTAATAAAGTTGCAAAGGTTGCAGAAATATATAATACGCTGAAACAAAAAGTTCAAAAAATTTGGAGTTTTCCATGAAAATCTCAGCATAGATGAATCGATGATTCCGTATCCTGGGCATCACTCGGCTAAGATGTTCATAAAAAATAAACCAATAAGATTCGGTTTCTAAATATGGATGTTATGCGGACAAGATGGATTCCCCTATAATTTAGAGATATACTGCGGTAAAACAATAAATAGAAAGATGCCTATAGGTTCCCACGTTGTAAATAAAATGTTAGAAATAATTGGGAACCCCAACAACGATATTGTATTTTTCGACAATATCTTCACTAGTTATTCACTATTGACAAGCTTGTGTGATAGAGGTATTCGGGCATGTGGAACTGTGTGTGAGAACGGAATAAATGTCCATTGGTATCATTAAAAACAATAAAAAAAACCAAGATCGGGGAACATTTGATTACAAATCCGATGGTACCATTATTTGCGTCAAATGGAATGACAACGCTGCAGTTACAATAGCAAGCAATCATTTCTCCATCAGTACATTTTTCTTGTAGAGATTTCTTTCTTAATTGAATTACTATACGATCAATCAATGAATATATATGTATAAGTTTATACTTACATCGGCTAAAAGTTTCAATATAGCTTCTCTAAGCTGCAAAGAAGGTAAGGATCTATCTGGCATCGGTGCCAACCAATCTGTTAAAACGTTTAATACATTATGTTCTATAAAAGCCAGTTGTAGGTCGTGTTTTTTTAATTGTGACATAACCTTGGCAAGCATAGATGTTTTTTTGGTGGCAGGTTTGAAGTTTTCGTTAAGTTTCCGATCCTCCTGAAAAGAAATAAGTAAATTTTAAAACATTTAAAATGGAAAGTGATCACCGATTTACAATGATAGAAACCGAAGGATAAAAATAAGCAGTATTAAACATATTACTTATTGTTATTATAAATATCAAACATAACCTTCAATTATGCTATTCATCATACACACTAGAAGAAGAAACACAACAACCACGACTTTGTGTATAGATAATTGGAAGTTTTAAGATTACATTTCTGCTTCTCTGTGTGTTTAATTCTAATGGTAATAATATATGGGAAACACAAAAATACATCCAAAACATACAGATCAGTTAAACGGGACTACCACACAAAATTCAGATAAAAAATTTCAACGAAACAAATAAAATATGCCGTAAAATATTTAAACATTTCATTACCTCTGCTGCTTGCCTCATGTCACCTAAAAGACCAGCGATGATATCATCATTATCATTTATAATATCAATGTCTTTTCGTTTACGTCGCTTAGTGCCTTCTTCACGTTTTCTTTGAAGCATAATATCAAAATCTGATAAGCCATGATTATCATCATTTGAACTGTAATAAAAACAATAAATTAATTAATATATAAATATCAGTAGTAAATCTCATTTAAAAAATTTAATCTTAAATTTTTTTAAATTCGTAGTTAAACCAAGTAAATTTTCAATTCAAGTAGCAAAACTAATATGGAAATTTGCTGGGCATATCCTCAGGGAGATGGAACAAACTAATTATACCGTGGAGACCATACTACACGTGAATTAAAACATATCGATGCATGTTATAACTTGTATAACGTCAAAAATCAATCCTACCAATATAAAGCCAAAAGAAATCAACAATTTTCTCGTCTAAATTTAGTTACTTTAAATCCCTAAAGTTCCAGAGGAAACCGCTGTTGTCAAATATTAAATATCTATACATTTATCAAAACTGTCAGAATTAGTAAACAACTTATTTGAGGTTATATTTTTTAAATTTAATCTTATTTGATTTTAATTTAGTAAATCTATTTCAACAAAAATGCCAACACATTTAAATAGCATGTGTAAGCAGTTACTAGTAAATTTAATTGAATATTTTGAAATTAATTTTGATTAATTCTTCAGCAAAATGTACAATATCATTAAAATGTCTTATTTTTAAAAATCACTTCCTTTATCCGCCACTATACACCCAGAAACAAGAAGAAATGACATTAATGACAACCATTTGATATGCTCAAGAACGGTAATTCTAACCATGATGCTATGAATAACAAGATAGGATCTTCCCGTAGCACAAAATCGGTCGTGTTCGCGCATGCCGTCATTGGAGAGTAGAATTTGAATTCTTGTTAAAGTAAATGGGATTTGTACGGTCCGTCCCAAACCCTTTTTTCAGTGCGTCATAGTTGATGGAATTCTCTCTAACGCATAAAGCTGGAAGTGACAGAAAAAGACGTGAGTCTGTGATTATTATACATAGAACATAGAAAATTATGTATCGTTCACGAGTATTTGCATATTAAAGCGAATTCTACTTACGGATGTATAATTGGTTGGAGTTTAGAATACGCTAAATATGAATCGGTTATTTATGAAAGGCCTCATGTCACTTTTTTTCAAATTTTCGTTTATCTTAGAAAATGATAACCCATATGTTCACACATCGTTTGCTTATGAAAAGCCTCATGTCTTGTTATTCCTTTATCAGATATATTAGTTTAAAATTATTGTTTATTTATGAAAAGCCTCGTGTCAGTGACAAGGGGCTTTTCATAAATAAACGCACTGTTGGCAACATTGCGCTGTCGGCTGATTGTTGACAGATATTCAATGTGTAATTAAGAGATTAATAATGAACCTCTTGTTTTTTTATTTTATAATCAACTGTTAAATAATAAAGTAAAATATTTTTCTTCAGTTATTGTTAAAGTGATTTAACTTATGTTTTGAAATAATGTCAGAGAGTGAAAATCTCGTTGAAATTAAAGCAGATAGCAAGAAGCGAAAGAGGGGTGTTCGTTACCATGAAGAATATAAATTTAATCAAATTAAGAAAGCTAGATGTCGTGCTAAAGAATATCTAAATTACAGAGGAAATGTTGAACCACGCAAAACAGGATTACCATGCTCGTAAGTTACGTTTTATCTTATAACGTACTATTTTAGACAGAAAATAAGATGATAATTAGAAGTCAGTTTTAAAACCTTGCTTAGTTTTAAAAATAGTAACCTTTTTCAAATATTGCAGATGCAGATTGAGATGTTTCGAGAAGTTATGTGAATAGGACGAAGTTGAAATTTTATGCAGAGGGACAAACTTTGCAAACAAAATTGAGCAAGACCTTTTTTACCAGTCCTTAATAGAAGTAGGGCCCGTACGGAAGAGGAGGTCAAGATTAAAACAAAACACTTCCGAAAATGAAGCTGAAAATGTTTTTTTTAAGCCCAAACATTTTGTTCTATGCCCAAAAGTTCTTTTAAATTCTATGCCTTGCTTCCTAAGAAAAGGATCAACACCTGCAAAAAGGCTTTTTTAAGTCTGCATGGTATTGGTAAAAAAAGAGTAAGAAGACTGCAAGCTCTTTTTGTAAAAGGTAAATCTCCTAGAGATTTAAGAGGCCAACAGAATAATCGGAGGACCCTTCCACATGATAATACGGATCTTGTAAAAGAACACATTCAGTCATTTCCACTGAAAACAAGTCACTATTCTTCTAATGAAATAGAATCTCTAGATGCTAAGCTGGACATAAAAAAAATGTTCAATTTGTTCCAAGAGAAATATAACGACTTAAACGTGAAGTATAGTGAAGGCTTCAAATTGACACTTGTTGTGAATGTGAACTGCTCAATATTACAATAAAAAATCCTCAGTTAAATGAAACAGCAAAACGAGTTGCAGTTGCGCAGCTACTTGTGCATAAGAGGCGTAGCAAAAAGTTTTATTCATCTCTTCGACAGACGAAAGAATCGATGTTTGATTGTATGGCAAACATATCGCTTCTCACAATTCCAGTGCAGGAAATATACTACCTTAGACAACTGTCTGTTTATCCGTTTGGCATACATTACAGTAATAATGACACTACAACATTTTATTTATACCACCAGGGAGTTTCTGGAAAGGGAAGTAATGAAGTTTACTGTTTCTTGAAGAAGTATATTGACGAGAATGTTCCAGCTAATTTAGATGAATTGTACTTATCAATGACAACTGTACAGGACAAAATAAAAATCATACGATGATTAGGTTTTTAATGTAACTTACAGATAGTGGAAGATTCAAAAAAGTTGTCTATAGACTTCCAATAAGGGGTCACTCGTATTTACCATGTGACAGAGTCTTCGGCCTTGTAAAACGAAACCTAAGGAAACACATTAAATTCTACACTTTGAAAGATAAAACAGAAATAGTACTTTCATCTACAAAACAGAGAAAATTTACTGTGGATTTAGTGGAAAATGCAAATGTTTTGGACTTTCAAAGTTAGTGGCCCAAATTTTACAAAAAAATATTGTTTAGAAGAAAGTAAAATTGAGAAAAACAAAAAAAGGCAATGTTTACTATTTCTTCCTACCATGAATTTACTTGCGAAAGATTTAAAAAAGGAGTGGTTGTTGTATCTGATTTCATAGGTGGATTTATTAGCAAAACCTTCAAATTATTATCTAGTCCACTGTCTATTGCTGAGCCATCCTCCCCTTCCTCATTAGCAAGAAAAACTCATGAAATAAAGGTACTAATTCATTAAGAAAAAATTAATGACCTGAAGAAACTTTTGCAAACCTAGAGTTGCAACGAAAAAATGAGAAAAATGTATAAAATGGCAACTAGTTGTAGCTAAGTGTATTGTCTTTGAACTGTTTTAATAAAGTAACATAAATTATAAATAAACACGGTGTAAATTCATCCACCAATCAAAACTTTTCCCGTAAAACAGCACTTTTGTTTATGAAAGGCCTTTTGTCAGCCATTTTCAATAATAAAAAAAAATATAATATTGATTTTAAAAAGTGTAACTAACATGATTTATTTGGAGTTTTATGGTTCTTAAAATGTTTCGAAAAATCAGAAAAGTATAAAATAATTTTTTATAAAACTAAACAGTTTTTTCTTGTTTTCCAAAATTTACATTTTGTGACAAGAGGCCTTTCATAAATAAGCGATTCATATATATCCAATCAATGATGCGCATAAATATAATTTGACGCAGATTATCTTGATCATAACAATACTTTCACAATGTCAACTGATAAAATGATAATTGTTATTCCAGGTTAGTATTTTCAGACATTTTACAGTAAAAATTTAATTTTGCATTTGTTGTCATAAAAATATTTTAAATATGCCGAGATATACCGAGAAAGAACAAAGACTACATACCTATTTAAAAAAATAACCTTTTCACATTTAGTCGATTACGTTCCTGCAACTGTCAGATTTAACTAAAATGTCAAGCAATAATTTTCGACATTCTTAAAATCCTATATGACGTCACATTTAGTGACGCACTGAAAAAAGGGTTTGGGACGGACCGTATGCATTCTGTGATGAAATTACTTGACGAAAATAAGTTAAGAGGTTCAATAATTACAATAATCGTACACATAAGGATGTCTCCAAACTATTTATTAAAGATTATTTATTGACACATACAAAAAACTGACATTTCGAACGTGCAACTCTCCAATGACGTCACGACTTATGCCCAATATCTTATCTTCTTATCATAGTATCATGATTCTAAGTGTAAAAACATAGTGGAGCATCGCACCTCGCCAGTCACATTGCTACGCACCTCGCTGCGCACATCGCCACAAATTGCATACTCGCCATGGTAAAACATAGCGAGGCATTTCACCTTGCATGTAGTATAGACCTGAAACTGTTTAAGAGCGGTACTAAATATGTTATCCGAATCGGAAAGTGATAGCGATTCATCTAGTGTTGCTGTAAAGTGGTGGTTAACGTCCACTGGAGGAAGAAGTCGTAGGTGGAATATACATCCCGTACAGAGAGAGCGCACGAAACTGGGTGAATTTTATAAATTATATCAGCAACTTAAGCATTATCCAGATCGTTTTTATGATTATTTAAGAATGTCACAAATAACGTTTATCTACATTCTTCGACAAATAGAACCAAAAATTGAGAAAAACTACTGTAACTTTCATGTCCAGCCAATATCCGCCGAAGAAAGATTAGTAGTAACACTCAGGTAAGAAATTAAATATATTTTTATTCAAATTCATATACAAAAGTTTGTACTTCACTAGAATTATTGCCCTCAAAAGCGAGTGTCTGCTTCTGAATAGGAATTTGTGACGTATTTATAGATTGGGTAGATTCTGTAGGAAATGTAAATGATGCATTGGAATGTGAGCTGGGTTGTGGTACAACTAAAGGAGATGAGGATGCAGGTCGAAATGAAGATGTGGATGCTTGGCAATGATGAGTAGATGCAGGTCGAAATGACGATGTGGATGCTTGGGAATGATGAGTGGGTGCAGGTCGAAATGAAGATGTGGATGCTTGGGAATGAAGAGAGGATGCAGGTAGAAATGAAGATGTGGATTCTTGGGAATGATGAGTGGATGCAGTAATATGTGGATCGCAAGAAGGAAGGGGTTTTGTGCCATACAAACTGTCCCACAGTAACTGTTGCACCTTAATTCTAAATCCCAGTTTCTCCTGTGCTGGTAACTGTTTCACATGCGGAAGTAGTGAAGTAAAGAACGCTACATCTTCATCATTGCCTCTTTTTTCCATTGCCATTTGTTTCCCTTTTTTAATCTGCAACTTCTCCCTCTCTATAGTTAACAGGCCTTTACCTATTGTTTCCATGGGTAAAGTTCGTTTTCTATATCCTAGAAGCTCTTTAGTAGGGGTGGGTGTGCCTGTTGATTGTGTGGATAAAGAGGTTAGTGAAGTGTGTGAAGCCGGGGTATTCGGAGAAGATAGATTTTCATTAATGGACTCAAGGTCATCGTCTTCAGCTTCAATTTGACGATTTTGACTTTCAGACTCTTCGTTTACTTCAGTTCCATTATCCTCCAAATTGCCACTCAAGGGTCTTTGTGTAAAAATGTCTTTTAAAAATAATAAAGATTTAAAATACGGCCATTCCACTGTCTCTTCTGGTGCTGGATCTCCAGATCTGCATGCAGGCAGTCGGTCGTAATGACTTTTGAACTGCTGACGCAGTGCTTTCCAAGATTTTTTAGCTAATGGAACTGAAACAAATACATTACGTTTAGTCACGCTGACATTACTACCAAACATTAGTATTACTACAGATAAATTTTTTATTTCCATTTACAGATTCCTAGCGACAGGAAACTCTTACAAGAGCCTGGCTTTTTCTTTTCGCATGGGAGCATCTACCATAGCACGTATTGTCCCAGAAATTACCACCTTATTGTGGAACGTTTTGCAACCCCTTCATATGATTCCGCCCACAGAAGAAAAATTTCGAGAGATAGCCGAACAATTTTATAATAGATGGAAATTTCCCCACTGTCTTGGGTCAATTGATGGTAAACACATTCGACTAAAGTGTCCAACTCATTCAGGAACAATGTACTACAACTATAAGCAATATTTCTCCATTGTGCTGCAAGCCGTGAGTGATGCGAACTGTAAATTTATTTTTATTGAAGTAGGTGCATATGGTAAACAAAGTGATGGGGGAACATTTCGTAATTCTAATATGTACAAATTGATGAGCAGTGAAAAGTTGAATATTCCAACAGAAGAGTTGTTACCAAATAGTAATATTAAGGCACCTTATGTTTTTATTGGCGATGAAGCGTACCCTTTGTTAACCAATTTAATGAAGCCATTTGCCAGAAATAATTTAAATGAAGAAACTGAATTATTCAACAAAAGTCTATCTAGAGCGCGTAAAACAGTCGAATGCGCTTTTGGAATTTTAACAATGAAGTGGAGAATACTAACGAAAGCCATTGAAACACAACCCAACACTGCAGATGCAATTATTAAAGCAGTTTGTATTCTACATAATACAATAATGGACCAAGAACATGTCACTCACGCTACGACAGATAATAAAAGCTTCGACTGTGTGTTGCCCAATATTTCAGCATGTAGGAGAAATAATCCTTCAACAGCAGAGGCTACTTCGGTGAGAAATGCATTTAAACAATATTTTATTAGTAACAAAACTCTTCCGTAATTGTAATATTCAATTAAATGTATCAATAAAAATGGCATCTTGAACATATCTTAGTACGATTACATACCTATCTAATTAGAATATAAATAATAACACAGGATGAAACAAACAAATTGATTGCTTACCTGAAACACCGCAGTTATTAGCTACTGTTTTCCAATCCTTGTCTAGCACGTAGCGGTTATGATGTTCCTTGTGTCGCTGATCCCATATTGGGGGCTTTTTAAATATTTCATTAATTAATTGCTCTTTATCCATCGTGCATGAATCAAACGTTTTCTAACTGCAAATGATCCCAACCGTTTTCTAACCGCTGGCAGATAGAGAGCAAAAGATATACGACGGTAAGTTAACCTTGAAACAGCCAATCAGGTAGTGACTTTCATGCTACTGTATCCAGAAAAACAAATTATTTTGCTCTTCAAAACGTAGCGAGATGCGTAGCGATGTTCCCGGCGAGGTGCGATGCTCCGTGATGCACACTGCTATGTAAATCTATTAAATTGTTTCTTAATCGGCAATGTGCGTACTGCGTAGCAATGTGACTGGCGAGGTGCGATGCTCCACTATGTTTTTACACTAACCATAGTTATAGAAAATATGTTTTCTTATGTAAAAAATAAAAATTTTGATTTTTAATGTGCAACTCTCCAATGCCGTCACGACTTATGCCCAATATCTTATCTTCTTATCATAGTATCATGATTCTAACCATAGTTATAGAAAATATGTTTTCTTATGTAAAAAATAAAAATTTTGATTTTTAATTATATAACATTTTATTCTTATCTACTTTTAACAGAAAATTACTGCTTTATTACCAGGGTTAGGTTAGATTTGGTTAGATTGGGTTAAGTTTGCTTACGTGAGGTTAGATTAAAACATTTTATTATTAACTTCTTATTTTAACAAAAAAATTACTGGTTAGTTAGTAGGTTTAGGTTAGATTTGGTTCTATTACTTTGGGACTATTACATTTTTTTGGTTTTTTTTGTATATCCTGTTTTTGGGAACTTTTACTAGTTTGCAACAAAGTAAGCATTAAAATTTGAACTTTTCTTTACTTTTTCGGTACAGTTCACAAAAAATTGGGCATTTTTGAGGCGGTATCTGAATATCCCTAATATTGTTCTCTACCAATCTTTTAATTTCATTAAAAGTTTTCCTGTTTCATATTTTTATTTTCTTAGATCAAAAATAAACATAACCTTCAAAACAGAAACATTATCAAATTATGTTGACAGCTGACAGATATTAACTAAGCGTCTTAAGCTATAAGAACAATGATATGATGTCCATAATATGGTCCAATGAAATGTAAGTTGTAATGTAAGTGATCTACTAATGAAGCCTGATTAATCCTAGCTTATTCTGCCAGATAACAAATATGACTACAAGGGAAATAAGTAATTTAAAATTGTTTTAATCCACGTGTATTCTTAGGGTAAAGACAAAAACCATAACTGAGACAGTCAGATAACAAATATAGTATACTGGTCCGCAATGTAATGCTAATAACACAGGATAGATAACGATGGTCGAAAGATGATGGTAGACCATAAAACGAATGCTCTTGCCTGATACAATATTTCGAAAATATATCATTTTTAGAGATACTCACTTTCTTCTATCATCAATGCCTTCATCCGAATCAGAATCCTGCTGTTGAGGGGCTGGTCCTGCTTCAGCTTCTTCTGGTTGTAATTCCGTTGCAGCAGCTGTCTGTTCATCTTCGTCATCAGTAACTACCATCTTCTTCGTTTTATTAGGTGGAGCCTCTTCATCTTCTGAGTCGGATAAAACTGCTCTTTTGCGGCTTGGTTTACTTGCTGTAAACATTATATTAAATACAAAAGTTTTATCGATATGAATCTACTTACCTTCATTTCCTGACCGTGATCCAGATCTTGACCTGGATCTTGATTTTGCTGGTGAACCTGATTTTGAACGTGATCTAGATTTAGAACGAGACCCTGACTTCGCAGAACCTGATCTGGATTTTCTTGAACCTGATCTAGATTTTCTTGAACCTGATCTAGATTTCCTTGAACCTGATCTTGATTTTCTTGAACCAGATCTCGACCTTTTTGAACCGGACCTTGACCTTCTTGATCCCGATCTCGATCTTCTAGAACCTGATCTAGATTTCCTCGATCCCGATCTTGATCTAGACCTTGATCCTGATTTTGATCGACGAGAACCGGACCTAGATCTCCTTGAACCTGACCTGGACCTTGCAGATCCTGATCTCGATCGAGCTGATCCTGATCTAGATCGTGCTGAACCGGATCTAGATCTAGCCGAACCGGATCTGGACCTACGTGATCCAGACCTTGATCTAGCTGAACCGGATCGAGATCTCGATCTAGCAGAACCTGATCTAGATCTTGATCTAGCTGAACCCGATCTGGATCTTGATCTAGACCTAGACTTAGATCTTGCTGATCCGGATCTAGAACGTGCAGAACCTGATCTCGATCTTGATCTCGAACGAGATCTAGATCTCCTTGAACCTGATCTGGATCTTCTCGAGCCTGATCTTGATCTTCTTGAACCTGATCTAGATCTCCTTGAACCTGACCTGGATTTTCTTGAGCCTGATCTAGATCTTCTTGAACCTGATCTTGAACGAGACTTTGCCGAGCCAGATCTTGAACGTCTCGAACCTGATCTTAAACCTAAATAATATGTTTCCATTAATATAGATAGTAATACAAAAAATTACTAAATTTAGATATTTGTTATAATTATAAAAAAAACACAATTTAATTAATAGCTTTTGTCAGTTATAATGGGAAGTAGTATTATTAATTGTTTGTTATTCACGAAAAAGACAAGAAGAAATAATAGATAACGCAAAATTTGGGCCTAATGAATGAGAGAAGAAAGCTAAACTGGAAAAAAGAAGTTCAAAAAAATATATAGAAGTGCAGAGATGCTAAAGCAAGCTGGATGTCAACGAAATTTCAAGAGATTGAACAACCTTAGGAAATATATGATACATTTAACGTTCACAGGAGAGTAAAAGAAATTATTTACAGATAAAGAAAAGGACAAGAAACAATGTTAAAAAATAATTAAAATAAATCGAAAGCAAAAAATCTAGACTTGATAATCTATCTATTCAATAAGGTACCTGAATCAGATAAAATATTAACAAACATGTTAAAATTAACATTTGTAACACTAATCCTAAAATGCGATGACTATCGAAAAATAAGTCGTACCTACGTCCCCTAAAAACTTACAGGAAATGCGCATACCAGATAGATAACACAATTAGATCCACTTCGGATTTAGAAGTAAATTGTAAACGCGAGAAGCTCATTTTTCCTTCTAACAATGATGCAGAGATATAAATGTAGATATATAAATATGTTTTATAGACTATCGCAAAGTGTTTGAATATGTTATCCATCAAAAGATTGCAGTGCTGCAATTTCCAAAGCAAAAAGTTGGATCGCCAAGATTTGAAAGGAGACTGCGTAATAAGGAGAAAATTTAACCTCTATTTCTTCATAGGGGACTGACACTGGAATTATCTAAAAATTTTATTGTTACATTTTAAAATTTTCAAATTGTACACTCCTTACATAAATTACACTGAGCCACCTTTGATATCGTTGGATACTATTTACAAAAGCCGGTCATACACCAAGGCAAACTTACGTGATCTCGACTTCCTTGAACCCGATCTTGATCTGGCTGATCCTGAACGAGATCTTGATCTAGAAGCCGCTTTGGCAGAACCTGAACGAGATCTTGATCTAGACTTTGATTTTCTCGACCCAGAGTGAGATCTTGACCTAGACTTTGATTTTCTTGATCCGGAATGAGATCTTGACCTAGATTTTGATTTTCTTGAACCGGAGTGAGATCTTGATCTAGATCTCGATTTGGCTCGGGCCTCATTATCTTCAGCTGGTGCAGAATTTGACCTTGATCTTGAACGTGAAGCTACTTTTGGGGAAGCTGATCTTGATTTTCTTCCATTTACACCAGAATGTGCTGAACCTGATCTTGATCTAGACCTGGAACCTTCTTTATTTACTGGACTACCAGATTTGGAACGGGATCCTTTTCGGGATCCATGAGCAGGCGAATTGGATCTCGATTTATGAGTTGTAGAAGTAGGCTGTGCAGTGCCGTCTGGTGATGGAGACTTAGATTTTCTGTCACCTAGTAAAAATAATTGTTTTGATAAAGAAAATCAATTAGGATTTAAAAACGATGTAAGTAGACTATATAGAACAAGACAAGTATATGGCACTTTAGTATACCAAATTCGAACTACAAGTATATGCATGGCACCATCATCCAAATACCTCGTAGGAAGTCATCATGAAATTTATTAACATAACATAACATAACATAACATAACAATATCTTTATTTTTAGAAAATAATATACATTCCGTGAACATAAAATTATTTAAAAAAAAACAGTGTCACAAACGAAAATATTATTTACTTATTCCTAACCGTTACATATACAAATAGTCCTCCACAGAATATGGCTCAAGAGCTACCAGTAATTTAAATATTTGATGTTTATACAAACTTAATCTTTCCTCCCTTTTAATAGGTTCAGGCAGTTTATTAAACAATTTGATGCAGCAATAAAGAGCGTTTTTTTCTATTATACTTAACCTGTGTATTGGAATTTTATAATTATATAACCTGGTATTTACTATACTATTGGGCTCAAAGTTCCTAAAGAGTATTTTATTTTTATATAGAAACAGTAAGCATTCTTGAATAAATACAGCGTAAACTGTTAAAATATTATTACTCCTAAGATGCCCTCTACATGATTCCCTACTTTTTAAGTCAAACATAACTCTGATTATTTTTTTCTGAACCAGAAATACATTATTTATGTCTCTACTGTGGCCAAAATTTATTAGACCATATCTAAATTTTGCTTCAAAATTAGCATGATACACTGTTTTTAATGAGTTACTATTCATGTATTTTTTTAGAACTCTAAAGCTGTAAATCACTTTACTCAAAGACATACATAACTGGTCAACATGTTTATCCCAACATAAAAAACTGTCAATATATAATCCTAAAAATTTGGTACTGCTGCTAATATTTAAAGTGTCATTATTTACAATAATACTGTTTGGCATATATGAATGTGCATAATTTGTCTTAAACAAAAGAAGATCTGTTTTATTTTGATTTAAAACCAACCTATTCATAGAAAACCAGTCTTTAGCTTTCTGGAACTCTAAACTAGCATTAACGCTTAGAACAGACATGTCTTTACCACTGACTAAAATGTTTGTATCATCTGCATAATTTGTTATGCTGGAAGTAGTATTAGCCACTAGACCATGAAGATCATTGATATAGATCACAAACAGTAAAGGACCAATCACACTTCCTTGTGGTACTCCAATATTGATAGTGCTTTCAGATGAGATGCCTGTTTCAGTGTTTTTATGTATTTTTACTAAATGTCTCCTATTTGCCAAGTAGGACTTAAACCAGTTCAATGCTGGTCCACATATACCATATTTCTCCAATTTATCAAATAATATGTCATGCACTAAACAGTCATATGCCTTTGATAGGTCCAAAAAGAGACCCAAAGCCACATGACCAATCTCAGTACATTTCAAAATATCCCAGACAAATTGAAAAATCGCAGTCTGAGTTGATTTTCCCTGTCGATAACCATGCTGATTTGCACTAATAATATGACATTTTGTTAAAAATTCTGTTATCCGCCTATACATAGTCATTTCTAAGATTTTTGAAAAGGAACATAGAAGGCTAATTGGTCTATAGTTATTAATTAATTTAAGATCACCCTTTTTGTAAACAGGTGTTCCTATGACAGTTTTCAGGCATTCAGGAAATACACCAGATTTTAGTGAATTATTTATGATTGTAGTGAGAGAATTCACTATCTCCTTTATACAAAGTTTAAGGATTTTAGTGGGTATTTCATCAATTCCACAACTCATTTTGTTTTTTAAAGTTTTAGTTATATCCATAATTTCAGTTACTGTCACAGGTGCGACAAACACTGAATTTATGTTACTTGCAATGTTGTCTTTATATTCAGTGTATTGTAATTGAGATAAAGTGTTATTTAAAGAAGTATTTAAGTGGATCATGTATTTATCAGCAATCTCTTGAGGACTACCCTCTACTTTTATTGAATTTACACTTTTTAATTGACCATTAATTTCACTGACAATTTGCCACATGCATATTATTGAGTGTTTTTTTAACAACATTGTAGTTTAAGTGTCCCATATCAGACTGTTAGAAGTACTGCAGTTGTTCAATGGAAACAGCTATACTGTCGAAGCTATCTTTTATTTGGCAAATTCAAAAAAAATCTTTATTAAGAATAAGATATATGTGTACTCTTTAAGAATCATGGACGTTTATATGTCATTGTTAAGAATCCATAAATAACTTCATGATAAGATATTGTTGGTTTTTTGTAAAAAGATTCCTTAATAGCAAACTGTACTTGTGCTTGCAAATTGAATTTTAATAGGCCAAACACACGGTAATCACACAGTCAGAAGTCAGGACTGTAAGGAGGATGTTATCAGACTTACCACTTCTTATGCCAAAGCAGATCTTAGAATATATGAGCCACAGGGTTGAGCATTGTCATCAACATTGATATATACCAGCATGTAATATTTCCAGCGTGGCAATCCTGTCACAAACATGTCAAACACAATGCAAAGATTGCTGTGTTTATATTAAGTATTGAAAATTCAAAACAATGGAAAATACAAAAATTCTTTGTAGTCAAAGTATTTTTTCAAAATTATAATTAACTGATTGTAGCACCCTTTTCTTTGTTTTCGAAAATATTAAAATTGAAAGCTTGTGTCTGGATATAAGTTATTAATTTACTATTTTAAATTTCTTTTAAACTGAAATAATTGTTTGTAATTAAGCTTTACTTATTTTACTTTACTCTTTAATAGCTTTACAAACTATTAAAAAGTAACAAAACCCCAGGACCAGATGATATGTACGCAGAAACAATCAAGTTACTTAATGAAGAAAACCTAGACATTATTGTCAAGCTCTTTAACGACATCTACGATACGGGCCAGATTCCAAAATATTGGCTTCGATCTACATTTATCGCTCTACCAAAAACACCACGTGCAAACTTCTGCAAGGACCACCGACTAATAAGCCTAATGAGTCACTTTTTAAAACTTTTCCTGAGAATACTTCACACTAGATTGTTTAAGAAATGTGAAGAGGTCAGTGGATGGAGTCAGTTTGGTTTCAAAAATGGACTTGGCACGAGAGAAGCGATCTTTAGTATGCAAACATTGATACAGAATTGTTTAGATCAAAGAAAGGATGTTTTTATCTGTTTCATCGATTACGAGAAAGCATTCGATAATGTAAAACACGAATTGATGATAAAATACCTACAAGAGTTGGGATTGGATGCAAAGGATATAAGAATCATCGCCAATCTGTATTGGAATCAGACAGCAACAGTACGTCTTCAAAATTCCAACGAAACAGAAGATTTCTCCATTAAAAAAGGAGTAAGGCAAGGTTGTATACTGTCCCCAATGCTGTTCAATTTATACGTACAAAAAGCCTTCGCAGAAGCAGTGGAAGACTCTAATAAGGGTATTAAAGTTAACGGCATATTTATTAATAACATCAGGTATGCCGATGATACAGCCATAGTGGCAGATAACATCGAAGATCTTCAATGCCTTTTAAATAATCTAACTCTTGCAAGTGAAGCTTGGGGTTTGAAAATAAATATCAAGAAGACAAAATCAATGATTATAAGTATAAATGATTACCCCAACGCAAAGATATATGTCTCTGGAGAAGAAATCGAACAAGTTAGGCAATTCAAATACTTGGGATGTTTGCTGAATGAGGGTTGGGACCCCGAGAATGAAATAAAGAGCAAAGTTGAACAAGCCAGAAATGCTTTTTTGAGGTTTCGTAAGTTTCTGACTGATCGCAAATTGGACTTCAACCTCCGATACAAGATGCTTAAATGTTACGTGTGGCCTGTTCTCCTGTACGGAATGGAAGCATGGAAGTTAAAGGCCAGTTCCAGTAACAAACTTGAAGTGTTTGAAATGTGGTGCCTGCGTCGAATGCTCAGAATATCATGGACGGACAGGGTCAGAAATGAGGAAGTACTCAGAAGAGCGGGCTTACAGGACAGGGAACTTTTTAATTATGTAAAAAGTAAGAAGACTGCATACTTGGGGCACATTATACGAGGAGAGCGATACACTTTTCAGCAACTGATACTCGAAGGGAAGATAGAGGGTAGGAGAGTCTCGGACGTAAAAAAATGTCATGGCTGCGCAATATTCGACAATGAACAGGAATCCACAGCTATGAAATGCTTCGCAATGCTGCTAAAAATAGAATTATTTAATCCAGAATATTTAACATCTCACCTGACAAGACGATGTACGGTGGACGCCTACGCAGAAATGCACGGCACCTTAAGAAGAAGAAGAAGCTTTACAGCTTTAAGCTAAGAGTATAACCTCCATTTGAAGTCAAAATATTAATTATCAACAAAAGAAAACTTTTAACTTCTACACTAGTATAGTGTAGTGACTTAAGTCATTTCTTTAATAATATATTTAATAAGTTTAGATTGTACTATACATAAATATCTACATTATATTTAAATGAATCAATTGTTACCTGAGGGTGATCTAGAGTGTGCTTGGCTGCTTCTTCTGGATCTTTGTGAACTATGTGATCTAGATCTAGATCTGCTGCCTGACTTGTTTGAATGCTGTGAACCTGAATTTGATCTAGAACTAGCAGCACTATGAGGTCTAGAACCACTTCTAGATCTTGATCTAGATTTTCTAGGTGAGGCATTTCCATTTACTTGTGGACTTGCTGATCTGGATCTAGTACTATTTTTAGCAGAGTTGTTAGATTCGACAGATGATGATCGAGAAACTGGGCTTCCAGATGTTGAACCTGATTTATTCATTTGGGAATCACAACCTTCTGTAAAAGTAAATCATGAACAATTCTACAGTATTGTGTTTAAATGTTGTGTAAAAAATACTAGCATTGCAATAAAATAGTTCTTTCCAATCTGAGTTTTTAAAACAAGTGTTTAATATATGTATAGTATTTTTAATAATATTAAAGTATCCTCAGTTGTAGGTCTCATTTGTATACATGTATAATTTCTTATGTGGTATTTTTATTATAAGTTTTATAATCTCAAAATGATAGACAAAAAAAAGAAACAAATAAATGTTTTAATATTAAATTTTAATTTGAACTAAAAAAATTATTGTAATTACAGTCCACTCAATGTAAACACACAATATTTCTTCTTTGCAACAAATGAAACAAAGTGACAAATCCAGTGAGTTTTTGAGCTGCACACTTATTGTTATTTGATTTCTGAGTTTTCCAAGTTATGAATTCATCAATCAGCCAATCGCATCCACTGCTAGACATAGGCCTCCCTCAGTTCTCTCCAGTGTTCTCTACATTGGGCCGCTTGTAACCAGTTTCCAGCTACATGTTTTATATCATCGGTCCATCTAGTCGGTGGTCGTCCTCGGCTTCTTTTATAGTTTCTGGGCCTCCATTCCATAATGTCTTGCCTACTGTCCATCTTGTGTTCTGGCTAAGTGCCCTGCCCAGTTCCACTTAAGCATCATAGTTCTTTCGATGACGTCTTGAACTCCTGATCTTTGACTGATTTGTTGGTTTATGTGGTCTTGAAGGCTCAAGTTCAGCATTGCATGTTCCATGGCTCGTTGTGTAACTCCAAGTTTATTCGCAGATTTTTGCATGAGTGAAGTCTCTGCTCTCTGTTTTGTACATGCAAAACACACGGAAATTGAACTTTTTAGAATATGGCTTAATTTGCCAAATGCTGCCCATGTCAGGCCTATTCTCCTCTGTATTTGATGTGTTTGATTGTCTCTGCTTATTTTGATCTTGTGTCCCAGATATTTGTAAGTGTCTGTTTGTTGTATGGTATTATTGTCAATAGTTATATTTCCACTTATTACGAGATTTGTCATAAGTTTAGTTTTCTCAAAGTTTATCTTTAATCCTTCTCTTTCAGACAGACTTTTAAGCAAATGTGTCAGAGAAACTGTATCCTGTAAGTTATCTGCGATTAATACAACATCATCTGTAAACCTTAGATGATTTAATCTTTCTCTATCTATATTGATGCCCATATCTTGCCATTGAGTGTTCTTAAATATTCACTCTAGAGCTGCTGTGAACAATTTTGGTAAAATATTGTCGCCTTGTCTAACTCCTCAACCTAAGCTGAATTTTTCTGTGTCTTCGTGTAGTTGTATATCATGTTGATGTAGCAGTCTCGTAGGTAGTTTTGATTAGTGTCCTGTACCTGTAATCTATTCGGCTTTGATTTAGGGCTTTCAGTACTGTTTTAAACTCTACAGAATAAAAAGCCTTCTCGTAATCGAGAAATGCAAGAACCAGTGGTATCTTGTACTCAATGCAATTTTCTAGATAGAAATTAAGTTTAGTTGTTAGTCTTTTTGTTAAGATTTTCATAAAGTTTGTACATATGTGTCAAGAGGGTGCTGATGGGTCTATAATTTTTTAATTTAGTAATATCGCCTTTTTGTGTAACAAGACTATCACTGCATTGTTCCAGACTTTTGGAATTGTACCTACATGTAAGCATTTATTAAACAGTTTATTTACTGATTTTAATAGAATTTCTCCTCCTGCTTTTATAGCCTCAATAATGAGTCTATCATCACTAGGCGATTGATGGTTCTTCATTTCCTTTAAAGCTGCGGAGTTATGAATTGGTGTTGAATAAAATGATAACTTTTTATAGTAGGCTAAGTATAGTATATACAAATATAGTATGAATATGTTTAAATATTAATATCTTGTTGGAGGTGGAATTCAACATTCCTTTTGATTATTCTGTCACCAAAGAGATATTCAATTGTGTAGATCCTGTAAAGAAAAGATATTCAATAATTCCTCTAGTTCTGGAGTGTTGCACCATCATTAGTAATATTCTTAACTTAAATGAATATTCTTAACTCTTGCCAGCTGAGCAGCCACTGGCCATCTACTTTTCATCTCAGTACATTCTACAATAAGTTTTCTTTCACCGTCTTTCTCTTTGATATTTGTAGTCCAAGGGCTTTAAGCCTCTATTCAACAAGCCTCAGACTCAACTAAACACAATTTTCAAATGGTGCAATATATGGAGATTCACACTTAACCCTGCTGAAACAGTTAATCTTTTTCAGGTCTATCTTAGGGCTTACACAATGAGAACCAGACAGTGTCCAATGGAGAAATGTTTAATTTCAGACTGTCAATGTTCTGTTTGGGCATCATTATCATCATCAACTAGCCTCTAACGTCCACTGCTGAACATAGGCCTCTCACATGATTTTCCACTTAGTCCGATTTTGTGCCATCTGAATCCAATTTGTAGTCACTCTTTTTATGTCATCTGTCCATCTCGTTGTGGAGTTGACCTCTGTTTTTGTTAGCTTATATTCGAGGTCTCCATTCCAAAGTCTCCTTTTTGTCCACCTGTCATCAACTGATCTTGCTTCCACATTAGTGTTGTTACCCTTTCAATAACATCTGCTACTCCTGATCTTTTGCTTATAGTAGCACTGGGTATTCTATCACGTAGAGAAATCCCTAACACTATTCTCTCCATTGCCCTTTCCGAACTTGTAGTTTACTCACTGTTGTTCTTGTGAGTGTTAGGGTTTCTGCACCATAGGTCATCACTGGCAAAATACACTGATTAAATACTTTTCTTTTCAGACACATTGGAATCTTAGACCTAAAAATATCCTTCATCTTTCCAAATGCAGCCCAAGCGAGGTTTATTCTTCTTTTCGGCTCGATTGTTTGGTTGTCTCAACTTATTCTGATCTCATGGCCCAAGTATTTATAGGAGTCAACTGGCGCAATATATTTGTCTTCTACTGAGATGTTTTTGTTGTGGACTAAACTTGTCATAAATTGTGTTTTTGAAAAATAGATTTTAAGACCAACTCTTTTTGTGGCAGTATGGAGTTCTTGGAGCATTATCTGTGCCTGATCAAAGCTGTCTACAATAAGAACGATATCATCTGCAAATTTAAGCTTATTTAAAACATTTTCCATCTACATTGATGCCCTTTAGTTCCAATATATGGTTTTACAAGCTTATTCTAGTAAAGTTGTTGTTTATTTATTTATTTATTTATTTATATACGGCATCCATTTACTTACAATTTTTACAAAGTTACATCTTAAAAAAAATATATTATTAAAATAACAATCACAAGTTTTACAAAGTTACACCTTAACAACAATAAATTATTAAAATAACAAACACCTCAGAATAATACAAACATATAAGAATAATACAGATGTACAACCAACTTATTGTAAGATATTTTTTAGTTGTTTTTTAAACAAACTAATTTTGGAGTCAAAAGTATCTATTTGTCTTGGCAAGCTATTAGCACTCCGGACCAATCGTGTAGTTGGTTCATTGATACCATAATTAGTGTGGTGAAATGGCACCAAAAAGATTTCTGATTGTCTGTTGCTTCTACTAGGAACTTTAAGACTAACAAGCGATAAGAGTTGAGGACAATCTATAAAAGCATTGATAACTTTGTGTAAGAAACATAAATCTAACAATGTCCTCCTTGACTCAAGTGTTGGTAAGTTAAGACTATCTCTTACGCACTGATAGTCATATTCCTCTCTCCTGTATCCACTCTTATAGGCTGCTACCCCAAAAATTTATTCTGGACTCTTTCAATCTGTTGAATGTAACAGTGGTATGATGGGGGCCATACAACTGATCCAAACTCAAGAATGGGCCTAACGAGACCACAATAAAGTCTTCTAAATGTAAATAAAGACAGATCCACAGATGTGCGTTGGATAAATCCCAGCACTTTCATCGCTCTGTTTGTTACTTGGTTAATATGGCTTGAGAATGACAGTTTGGTGTCTAACCAAATTCCCAAATCTAATACTTCATTTTTCGAGGCTAATGGCAAGTTATTTATGTAGTAAACAAATGTAATTGGATTTCTTTGCCTCGAGAATGTCATTTTATGATATTTGTTTATATTGAGTGACATTTTGTTTAAAGTGCACCAATCATAAAACGATTTAAGATTTTCCTGTAATATAACAGCATCATTCCAGGATTGAATTTTTCTAAACAGTTTTACATTGCCAGCGAACATAAGAACACTACAATTTTTGATTTGTTGTACTAAATCAACCAGAAACAAGCAAAACAAAACAGGGCCACAATGGGAGCCTTGATCTAGCAAATAATTTAGGGAACATGTTGTCTCCTTGCTGAATGCCTCTTTCAATACGAAAGGTGGCATGTAGCACTCTTCTACAATCACAGTAGAAGACAGGCTGCTACAGGGATTAGTGACCATGCCTTATGCTAGCTTCAGGTTCTCCCCCTTCCTTGCCGGAAGGGGCCATGTCCTCATACCTTTTTCCTACCTCTTCCTTTTAGAACTCCACCTTCATTCTACCCTCTACCAACTCGCACTGGCCAGCACGTAGAGTATGGCTAAAATCCAAGCATGCTTGACTGTTTGTTCATAGAATTTACATAAAGGCTAAACTGGAACACTGACATTAAGAACACACTAGACAGGGCAAGCAGATACTCATCTAGGCAAGGAAACATACACCTGTGTACTCTCCTACACACCTACAAAACTTAAAATAGATTAAGTGTCTAGTATAGAACACTCCTTTATGTGGTACTCAACAAACACCAAATAAACACCTTAATGGCCACTGAAAGAAAAATCATGAGGAGAATCTTTAACAAATATCCTGACTTCCTAGCAGTATTATTATCTATTAACTTAATTCTAACACCAGAGTAAAACAGGATCTTAAAAACTTCCTGCAACCACTGAGCACAAGTATTCATTTCCTAAAAAAATTTCCATTCCAAACACAAAAATGCTGAATCCAATAGATATTCCCAAATCTTGTACATCTGGTAACATAGCAGTACTCCTCCACAAAGCCATAAGCAAGGTAATCTATACCTTTGCCTTCTTCCTAGCAACTCTGTTACTCCTAAGAAGCTAATGTCACTCAAGCCTCACATCCTCATGTCCTTCACCTCTAGTTAAAAAAAACGGAGCAGCCATCCCTTGAAGAGGTGAAAGCTGAAACAAGGTCATCCTAACTAGTTCTAGTATTAGTCAAAGGTTTGTGCTATAACTGGATAAAAATGTTTTTTCTATGCTAAACCAATAGATTGTAAATTGGAGGTGCCAAAAAATAAATTATGGTATTTGTATACAAATATTACTTATTTTTATACATGTACATCAAAACTAATATATTCTATTCTTCAACAAATAAAATTTGCCAACAAAACAATATCAATACTAAATTTCTGAAGCCAATGTAACTAGAATAGGACAAATTATCAACAGTGCTCCAAATACCAAATAATATTACATCCATGTTATGCAAACTCCTAGAATTGAAACCTTATTAGGCCCGTTTGAAATAAAAGACAATATTTGTTCTACAGTATTTGACTCTACAATGTTCATATTGTAAATCTTTGGATTATATTAACAAATAATCTAATACTTCACAAAATATTCATGTACACATATGAAAGCATCAATAGTACTGAGGACTATACCAGCTTAAAAATGTAATAAATTTCAATCAGGTATAAGTAAATGTAAAGCATTTTAGACCAAAATGTAATAATATTAAGAATTATACGTTTATAAATATGTTTAACACTGATCTTTAAAATATTTCGTAATATTCTTAGGTATATTCCTCAATAACCTTTCATGGTTTGTGTGAATTCGTGTAAGTATGGAAAACTAATTACCTGATTCCACTTCCATCGTTTAAGAATAATGTCCAATGGGGATACCTAAGAATTAAACAATATGATAAAAATTTGCAACAAATGTAATCTACGTACAATTCAATTCAACCCAAACCTTGCCTTTTGGTTTGCCAAAATGTTTTGACGTGTGACAGATGATGGTAGCCCTTATTTGTTATTTCCTATGATGGTAGCCAATTTTCATGTGACAAATAACTTGTATAGTCGATTCACTCAGCTAGGAAAAATTTAGATGTAATCATTGTCGGAAACATACAACACAAAAATTCCTACCACACCTTATTAATTCCTTGAATAAACTTTACTTTTCTAGATTTCTTTAATGAAAATAAAAAAACTAAAATAATAATGAATAATGGAAGGGTAAATTTAATAATATAATTAAAAAATTCAAAATAAATATTAAAACCTTTATTTTAATTAGTGAATTTTTTTGTTAATAAACTGCGATTTTCCAAAATGTGCACCTGGTTGAATAGTAACTTCTAGTCGAAGTCAAAATTCAATATAAGGTTGAATGTTCGAATAATTAAACTTTGATAGTATACAAGGCAACTATCGAACACAGTTATTAATTAAATCTTGCCCAAGTACTTTCAATCAATAGATCATCTTCAGGGGCATCTGAAATAAGCCAAGAAACGTTTTTTATAAGAAGGAAAATTAATTCACTTGGATAAAAAACTCCAAGTTTATGGTTGAAAAAAGTTTTTATGTGATAAACGTTTATAGACCAGGAATCACACTGCTCGACTAGACCGACCGTCCACGATCGACCAAAATTACAAGTCTATGAAAATGTATGCGTTGACTCAGACTGGTAGACCGTCCATCACTTACAGCGACCGACCGCGATCGTCCAGTTTTGAAATTCGGACTTGTTGGAATTTTTGGTCGTTTGGTCGATGAATATGGAACATTTCTGCGAACATTCATTTGTGCTGTTTTGAGCTAAGACATTGACCATTGACATTTAAAAATTTGTAATTAACCTATAAAATTGGATTTGTTTTGTTTCTTTGGATTATGTATATTAGTTTGTATATCCAATACAAAAATTAAGGTTCTATTAATTTTTTGGAAATGCTAAGGAATACTCTGGAATACTAAGTTTTTGGAAACAGGACTTGTTCATGCGATAATAATTTTGAAATTTTATAAAATCATTTAATAGAATGGGGTATAACACAAATAATTCTCCTTGTTGGTGTCTTTTTAAAAAATGTCTTAGAAAAACAAACTGTCCTACGCCTATAAAGATATCAAATAAGTGATAAATAATTTATCAGTAGAATTATTGCTGCTAATTCTATCCATAATTCAATTTTTTACAAAGAACCCAATAAAATGAAATAACAAAAATGTGGTTATGTTGCTACACACTCCTGACGTCTTGATGGTCGGCCGATCGATCGTGGACGAGTAATGTGAGTTTAAAAATAAAAATACAAAAGTTGGTTGTTCGCCGTCGGACGGTCGGTCGTGGTCGATCGAGCAATCTGATTCCTACCTTATTACTTCGTCAGTTGTGGCCTATCCGACATGAGTAGAATGGCCTATCAAATTACATGTATGACATGTATGGCATAAATTGGTAACACTTATTTGACAGTTGCGGTGTTGACACGGTGTTAAAAAAAGTGTTGTTTTTGTTATTTTATTTTACATCTTTATACGATGCATACAAGCGGCTCAAATTGTTTTTAACAAGATTATTTTTTATCTCTTGTTTTGTTTTTATTTATTTACATTAAATATTAATTTGTTTTGTTCTATAATCCACTTTTGCAATAATTATGTGACCTATTTGATTTAAAATGGATTCACAATTTTTTTATACTTTGGCAACAATGTCAACTTCGATATCTGTTAATGATAATGACGTGATGTGGTAAGTAAATTAGATGGACTGTAGTTTTACCAAATCAAAAAATTGACAGCACATGACGTCCGTCACATATACCTCTTCTTCTGCTTCTTTTGTTCTATAATGGTTTTTACGATTTGTTAACTTCGTAGTAGTTGTCATTGTCAAATCAAATATGCAAAAAAGAAGAAAAAGGTTATGTTCTTGCCGACAAGATAACCCAATTTTTATCTTGATACTTAATAATTTTGCAGTGAATTGCATCATTAATCCTTATCCCATTAGCAAGTCTGAAGATGGTTGACGGTAAACCAAACGAGAGTACCACTAGCAAAGGAGCTTTAAAAAAGGAAGCAAAAAAGGCAGAGAAGGCAGCAAAGAAAGCAGAACACAAACAAGCTGCTGGTGAAAGTCAACAGAACGTTGCAGAGGAAGGTAAGAAATGCTTTAATATACACTATTTACATTCTTTTATTTTCGAAATATATATTTGATAATCATTTGAAAATAAATACTACTGTCACAAATGCAAATATGCTGGATTTCTCTACCATACTGGAGGTAGAGTGCACAGCAGATATAAGCATATGCTCAGTTGGTCTTAGTATATCAGACTGTTATAAATATATTCTTAGAATAAATTATTTTTCAGTTGACATATCAGTTGGAAAATATGGAAATCTTCCCCTTATTAGATCAGAAACTAAGCACAATGAGAGGAGTTTCACGCCAGTAAGTGACTTAAATAAATCTGTGTCTGGAAAAACTGTATGGATAAGAGCAAGGTTACATACTTCAAGATCAAGAGGAAAGCAATGCTTTATTGTTCTGAGACAAAAAGAATTTACTGTGCAAGCCATTTTAAATGTCTCAAATATTGTTTCAAAATCTATGGTTAAATTTTCAAGTGGGTGAGTAAATTATGTTATTAATATATCATTATACGGAGCCACCGAAAAAAAAAAAACATTTAAAGTAGGTCTTGGAATAAGATCTTTATTTCAGATGGTTAATCCACACTCCTAAACAAGAAAATCATCATACATTCATACAGATTTGAGATAAAGTATGGAACCAAAAAAATATTTTTGAAACAAAATAGATTATAGTCATGAAAGTTGGCATGCAAGTACAATGACAGATATAGTATCTGATATCATATTTTTTGTTACTACCCTACTTCTGGTTTCACCAGAAATGCCCTAAACTTACTGAATTTAAATGGGACACCATATATAATTTTTCCGGTTTTTAAAAGAATTTGTTATTCTTAATTCTTACATACCAAGTTTGGTAGACAATATTTTAATGTTAATATGAGAAATAAATTGCTTTATAATGAGATAATGGGTAAATTTATTTACTAAGACTAATAATAATTTAAAAGATTTCAAGTTGCATGATGATTTGATTGATATAGGGCATATTTAGATTGTTTTTTCCTAGTTTATTTTTACTATTTCTAGCTCTATATAGAAGTTCCTCGATAAAAATGATATGATATGTTAACAAATAACATAGAACCATAATATTCTTAATTGGTTTAATTATGCTTCCATTAGATATATACAAAGTTTACCTCATTTGTTTAAATATAACAATTTGCTAATTGGCTTAATTACTCTTCACTTAGTTTTGCATTATTTGTTTAAATATAACATTATATTTGCTATTTTTATGAAATACTTATATACATAGTATATAGAACATTTGGAGTTTAACTGCTGATGAATCTGTATTTACATCATAGTACATTAACAGGTTGACTGCCAAGCAGTTGTATACGACCCACAGTTCAATAAGTACTGCATGCCACGGCGGTTGTATAAGACAGATTTGATACGGTCTGTGATATAGTTCCTATTTTGCCAGAGGTTGTGTAGAGAAGAGGAGTTATTGCAGTATTTGACCACCGTGGCATACAGTTGTCACATATACATATCAGTTTTCATTTTGGCTGAATATTGGAGACTGAAATAATATCGAAATTTTGACAGATCTTAATTTTAAGTAAAAAATATAAAACCGTAAAAAGATCCATTACAAACTAAAAGACATACAAAAGTTAAATAAGAACATGAAAGAAATTAAAAATTGTTGGATATTTGGAGTGTGGAGAGTGGAGACAGAATCTTCTCTTTATAACAACCCTCACAGTATTTCTTCATTTTATCATACAGTCCTTCTCTTTTCATCAAAGTATGAGTTTGCTTCGATCTCTTTGTAGTTTATATTTGTTGTTGTTCCCTTTCAGAATCATTCTGTGACTCAATGTTGTCTTCCGACGTTAAGAGAGACTTTATTAGATGCTCTCTAAATTCAGTTATTTTTTCTTTTTATCTTTTTATTGGCTAGTTGGTTGAAAATAATGTGAGAATTTACGAGTGATGTCTTCTTCTTCTTCGTCTAGCCATTCACGTCCACATCTGAACATAAGCCTCTTCAAGTCTTCCTTTCGTGTGATGTATCAAGAAGAAATTCCACAAAGAGCTTCCTATACCAATTCAGTGACTTTTGTAGAGGTAAATTATAACTTGCCATCTGGTCTGACTGGTCAATTGAGGACTTTCCTCAGTGTATTCCATTACACCCTAAGGTTTATGGACAACACCACTTCGTCTCTGAATTGCTTGAGTTTTGGTAGTGTGTTTAGTAGATAGTAACAAGAAATCTCTTTTATCCTTTCACATCAAAACGCAGATGTCTCTCTCTCTCTCTCTCTCTCTCTCTCTCTCTCTCTCTCTCTCTCTCCCTCTCTCTCTCTCTCCCTCTTGTTTTCCAACCAATTGTTTTGGGTTTCCACGACGATTTGCTCTTAGCGTCCCAATATAGTGAGTTTCCTTGTTAAGTAAAATGTTAGCTAACTCTAGTTATCAGCTACGAACGTCGTAAGTCCTGAATTCAAAAGGCGTTCTGATAGGTTAATCACTAGATTTGTTGGTACAAAAGCTTTACTTTCATTTTTCTCCTTACCTGCATAAATCCTTAAATTCCACGTATAGCCATTGTCACTACAAAGCTTAAAAAGCTTAACTCTATACTTATGCGTCTTTTGCGGTATGTACTGCTTCATTACAAACCGACCTTGGAAAGGAACAACAGACTCATCAATACACTCCCTGGTGGCGTCCATCGTCCAATACGCTCATATAGCATATTACATGAAAATATGAAAATTATATCTTACTTGAACGTTCATTGCTTTCCAAAACCATACCAACCATCATTTTACCGCGAATTCCCATTTTATTTCAAGAAATAATAATTGTTTTTACTATTGTGTAACTCTAAAAATAACACAAGCACAATCAACTTACATGTTTTACTAACAATCAAACCTCTACTGATAAAATATTGATGAGAACAACCACTTAGCAGAATAATACTCCACAAGTCTCATCATGAACACAACGACCACCCGACCAACCGCTTGGCACCTCAGGAATAAGTATGTTGCCTATGCCCCGACGTTCGTATTTGACTGCTGACATATTTTTTTAAAAATTGGGTCTGTTAAATGAAATTGGTGAAATATTAGTAATGGAAGTATTTCAGTTGGTTGCCAGATGCACTTTTTTCAAGTTGGCACCATGGACTTTTTTAAACATTTTTTTGTGGCAGTCAACCTGTTAATACAGACCAAATAACATGAATGTCTTATCATTTCTCTCTAAAAATTTGTGCACTATTCACACTGTGACATGTTTTACCCCATGTTCTAATACTTTCTTGCTTAATACCAGCCTTCTGACTCTATTCAGAATTTTCTGGTAGTAATGAAGGATTTTACTAATTTGAGTTAAGTGATAGATACATATTTAAAAATTAGACCTGTATGCCAAATTCTGACTTGGCTTTACCTAAAAGACAACATATTTATTTTGTGGCTTATCTGTGCATTTGTTGGGCAACTTTTTTTTTTTAAACCAAACTGAACTTGGGGAATCCTGTATTAGAATCAGCATTGTTTATTAGGAGTATTAAATGTCTAAGTTGTTTGTCATTTGTCATGTCATCTCAATGGGAGACTTATTGGTCTATAAATTATTTAACTTTAAAATCTCTGAGTCAGCAGTTTAATCTCAGTGTGCATTGAATATGTAGATGATTCACTAGTACAATTTCTTTTCCTGGTAATTCTTTCATCATTTGTGGAGTTTTCTCAATGCCACTGTCTTTTTAAGACCAAGAAAACTGATTTTTTTGTATCTATTTAGGTGTGTAAAGACTGATTGCAGGAATGTGTTTGAATATCTGATAGGGATGCTCTCTAATATGACAGCTTCTATTTCCTGGCCAATGAATATCTCTATACCCAAAGCTGGACAAATACCTGGCTTTTCATTATTTCCCTACAGTATATGTATATGTTAATAATGCCACTGTGATACACTATTAAATTTAGAATAAAAACATATATCTTTATCATTCACTGCATAATAATTCCATCAATGCGATAACAATACTATCTGTGATTTATGGCATTAGTCCTGGGTTAATAAATGTGCCCTGTTTAATTTAAAAATGTTAATTACTGTCTGACCCAACTAAAAAGTCTGGACTTTGTACCACAGATAATAGATTTTAAATTGCTATTAAACTTCTATTTTTAGGGTACCCAAAGAAAGTATTGTCGATGTAGAAGCCAAAGTATCAGAAGTACCCAATAACATAGCAAGTTGCAGCCAACAGGATGTGGAACTAGTTGTTTCACAGTTATGGGTAGTGTCCTTGTCCGCTCCACAGCTTCCTTTGCAAATAGAAGATGCAGCCAGACCTGAAAAACCAGAGGTAAATATAAGAGATAAATAGTTTATTGTAATGAATATAATAAAAATATCAATTATTAGTGTGACCTGGTAAAACTTTCTGTTCGAAGATTTTTTAAGTGGGTGTGGGTATTTGAGGGTAGAAATGGTAAAAGACTAAGCATGTCCTTTTTCTTTGCCTCAGTGACCACTCTCTCAGTTGTGTATAACGGGTCTTGCTTTTCAATTAATTTTCAAGAAATTTTCAATTTTTTCTAGAAATTGTCGTAGACATGTTTACTTTCAAGAAATCGAAATCTTTGTTTAAAGTATTTTTAAACATTTTTTTACAATGACATGGTGTGTTTATAAAGTGTGTTTTCTTCCAGTTGTCTATATTTTCTTTCTTTTCCGTCCCTTTAATTCATTATTTGCCTTTACATTTATTGGCTCACTTGGCCCAGGAAGTGGCAAAGAAGCTGCAACTAATGTCACCTGGCTTGGACCGGAGTTATATAAAAAGAAAGTAAATAAATGACTGAAAACATTTATTTCTTATTTTACATTTTTGATATCAAAAATTATTAGGTTTTCCTAGACTATAAATTTTAAAACGATTGCAAAAACAAATCCTAGTAATGATAATTTTGCTGAATTGTTTGTAAAACACGAATTAGAACTTTCGACTTATTTACAACGTAAGCAAATTGTTTCACAAGAGGTTATGTTATAGTACTTATATTTTATATTATTCTATCATAATTTACCTTCAGATTCTGAAGTTAATGATTCATCTTCTGAAAGCATATATTTTGAGGATGAATCAGAAAAGTCCACAATTTCATTGAGATCCATTGTTTTCAAGTTATAACAACTACAAATACATAAACAAAAACCACATGTAATGATTTTGGACTTGATTCACTTTAGCACAGACATTTTATAAAAGTCTTTGTCAGAACCAAAGGAGACTGCTGCCATCTGTTAGGAAATAGCAATATCAGGGACTTGTTTCACTGTTGTCCCGAAAAGATACACTATTCCCAAATATTAATAAGCATCAAGCAGACTATTCGTAAATTTTGCACTTGATCCACTTGGGCTCTGAACGCCTCATATATGTATATGTGTGTGCGCATGTGTTCTTTAATTTTTGTTCACATATATTTTGATATTTTGAAAGTTAGGTGACAGTACTCGTTTTCTTGAGGTTGAGGAATTTGGTGATTATTTAATGAATTTTTTTGTGGAATATTATTGTTTATGTAAAACGTATTGAGGTTGCTGTTTAATATTTAATTTAAAATAAGGAAAAAGTGCAATATGTGTTAATGAGGATATATATAATGTAGATGATTGTAATTGAAATAACAATTGGCAGATTTAATATCTTATTGTCAATTCAATATGAGATTCACTTACCCTTTTTGAATGTGGCTGATATCTAAACTGATGGACAGCAGCATCTGGGGCTAAGCTTAAAGTTATTACTTAAGGATATTTGAGTAGGTCTTGAATACTTTTCCAAACAATTATAGAGATTTATTTAGTTTAATATACCATGTCATTAGCCACTATTGTCTTTTGTCTAGATATAACTGCAGATGATGTGACAGCCAGCTTGTTATAAAAAATTATGACAGCCGTATCATCAGGATCATTTTATGTTTTATAAAAATAATGTAACTCTATATTACCAATAAATATAAATAAATTAATAAATAACTTCTCTTTCTGCAATTCTAGAAAACTCTTTGGATTGTCTCAAAATTTTTTATTTTCAAATACAACTAATTTAAAATGAATATTATATATCTGTCTCACTAGGATGAAGAAGGTTTAAATATTCGGGTAAATCAAGACACAAGGCTGGACAATAGAATTTTAGATTTGAGAACACCAACTAACCAAGCAATTTACCGGTTGGAAGGAGGCGTCTGTCGACTTTTTAGGGAAGCTCTTACTAATAAAGGGTTTGTAGAAATACATACGCCAAAGATCATATCTGCTGCTTCGGAAGGAGGTGCTAATGTATTTACCGTAAGTTATTTTAAAGGTAAGTTAATAACTAGTTATTAAGTATCCAAGTAGAACTGGATGACTAAAATGTTTAATCTATCTATCTATCTATCTAATCAGCCTTAGACGCCCACTCTTGGTCATAGGCCTCCCCTGTTAATCTCCATTGGTCTCTATTTTGGGCGATCTGCATCCAGCCCTTTCCTGCCGTTCCCTTAAGATCGTCAGTCCATCTCATCTGTGGTCTTCCTCTTTTTCTTTTCTTTTCCCATGGTCTCCAGTGTAGAATTCGCTTATTCCATCTTTCATCTTTTTGCCGGAGAGTGTGACCGGCGAAGTTCCATTTAAGTTTTGCAACCTGTCTTGATACATCGTTCACCTTTGTTTTTTCTCTGATCCATGAGTTTCTTTTCCTGTCTTTAAGACTGATACCCAGCATGTGTCTTTCCATTGCTCTTTGTGTTTTGGATATCCTGTCGATGTTCTCCTTTGTGAAAGTCCATGTTTGTGAGCCATATGTGATAACTGGTAAAATGCACTGGTTGAATACTTTCGTTCGCATATATTGAGGGAACATTTTATTTTTTAGAATATATGATAGTTTACCAAATGAGGCCCATGCTAGTCTAGTTCTTCTTTTTATTTCTTCTGTTTGATTGTCCCGGTTCAGCTTTATTATCTGTCCTAGGTATATGTATTCTGCCACCTGCTCTTATTTATTCTGTTTGACTACTATTTCTAATTGGTCTTCTTGATTTGTCATAGTCTTGGTTTTACTATAGTTCATCTCTAGACCTACCTCGGTCGCTTTTCTATCTAGTTCCTCAACCATCTTCTGTAATTCTTCCTTCTTATCTGTTATCAGGACTATATCGTCTGCATATCTCAAGTGGTTCAAGAGCTCTCCATTTATTCTTATTCCGTATGTATCCCATTTTAATTTTTTAAATATGTCTTCCATAGCCTAATTGAACAATTTTGGCGATATTGTCTCTCCCTGCCTGATTCTCTTTCGAATTTTATTGGTCTGTAGCGTGTTTAATAATAAATTTTATTTAATATATTTCGTATGTCAAACTATGAGTTGTATAGAGAATCCCCAAATAGATATACCAGTTTGTAAATGTTTAAAAATTCTACAAAAATACCCTATAAAAATTGTTTCAATTTGGATTTTATCTTAAACAATTTATTTTACTGCGCAAGCGTGTCAACTTTCAAATCTTTTATAACTACACCTTGAGCCAACCTATTACATTGAACTCTTAAATACCAAAAAAAATAGTCCCGTTTCATCTGATTTAAAAATATAAACGAAGAGTATTTTTTTATTATAGTGACCAGTTTTTTCTTCTAGTCAGAAACCATTAATCTATAACAGCTGCTTCGCTAAGACCCTAATTATCTTGTAACATGGTATTATATCTTGTTTGAGTAAACATCATGACCTTATTTTTAGTTAAGCCTAAATATTTTTCCTTCTGCATTAATACTGTGTAAATGACAGTAACTCTCCATATCTAATTATTACTCATATTGGCGACGTGCAAGTACTTGGATGTGATACGAGAAACGATCGTGCGCGAGTAGCGGAGAAATCTTGCATTTTTTACTGCAAATTTCATAGATTTCATAAATTCATATTGTCAATTATCATATTTCATATTTGTTTGTTCATTTACACCTTCTGTCACTGAAGAAAATGGGATTTAGGAAATGCTGTTATAAATTGTAAAAATACAACAAAAAATTGTCAATTTAAGTTTTATTCGTTTCCAACTTCGAAGCACAAATTACTACAAAGAGAAAAGTGGATTTATATCATAAAAAAGCATAAGTAACATAATCTAAATTATGTATTATTCTTGCGCCCGATTTTAAAGTCAGTTTGAAATAAATAATAAATAAAAGTTCACTTTTAAGTGTAAATTTTAGTTTCATAACACTCACTTAGAGTTCATTTTAACCCAAAAATCAAGTTTAATGTTTAAATTTTATTTTTTTGAAGTTTACAAAAATGCATCAAGTTAAAGTTTTTCTGAAGATGCATTAAGATATATTGGCTGTCCAAAAGTTTACAGGGAAATAATTAATTGTTCCAACCAATATGATGATATCATGGGCTTAACCTGCTAATTTATGCATTAGCATTATTTATGGTAATTTATTTTTCTTAATTCTTCCACATAATTCTTCCATTCTTTTTTGACATTTGCCACTACTAAAGCTTTTCCATTTGACTCAGTGCTTGGTTGAAAAGTTATTTGGTGATTTACTTTTTCAAATCCAGTTTTTATTATTGCATCCATATTAACTGTAATGCTGTAATTTAATAATATATGTATTTGTATTTACACTACATACAACGTTTACCTTTTAATAACATACCGACACCGACATAACCTCAATCTTACTTTTTCTTCTTATTCTTTTTTGGGGCTACGTCCTTGACAGTTATCTGGTAACCTCGATCTAACATGAAAGCGCAGTAAATTTTGCTGATTTACGACACCAGGTGTCGCTGTTCCGAACTTGCACGGTCCCAATAGTGCAAAGTCTATATCAGTTTTGTGTCTCTATTGAAGGGACTGTACAAGCCCATAAAATGTGAATAATTTATGTTTTAATAAGTGTTTGCATAGACATGGCCGTTAAGAGGGAGTTTACTATGTATATCCACAAATAGAAGTAACCATCACCGATTAAATATGAAATTGCCTCGTAATATGTTTTTATAACCTCTTTAAAATAATTTTGTTATTATTTTAGGATCAGCTTATTTGGCTCAGAGCCCTCAGTTGTACAAACAAATGGCGATAGCAGCAGATTTTGAAAAAGTGTTTACTGTTGGTGCTGTATTCCGAGCCGAAGATTCGAACACGCATAGACATTTAACGGAATTTACTGGTTTGGATTTAGAAATGGCGTTCCATTATCACTATCATGAAGTCATGATGACGATCGGTAACATGTTTACAGAAATTTTTAAAGGTCTAAGAGATCAGTAAGTATTTTAATTATGTTTTTTTACATATACTGTGATCAATTTTTGTGACAAAGTCCGTTATATCTATTATAGGGGGTACCAAAAAAAATTATAATAAAAATAAGTAGCTGTAAGTTCCAGATTTTAGGTTAAGTTAGATTAGGTCCATGTATCGTGTACTGTTTTGAAAGAAGGAAGAGCCTATTGCATAATTACCTAAGATACCTCCCCAAACGTTGAAGGACAACCTAGTTTGACTCAAACGTTGCTTCATCTCCAAATAAAGCAAAATAAAAAAAATTGTACAATTATTTTTATTGTGCCCATTCACATAAAAATAAATTCTCTTCTAAACTCCTTTCAAAATCATTCGCAGTAAATTCTAGGTGTCGCTGGATGTTATATGGGCATTTGATGGCACTTTCCACATCTTGTCTATTAGGACCTTCTTGCGTAGATTCACCGCGATTGTCTTCTCCATCTTCATCACTTTCGTTACTGACGATAACGCGCTCAGCCGGCGGATTTATTACTTCCGCGATAATTTCACTATCCGTCGGAAGATCACAAACAATGACGTCATCATCAATGGCAATGAATTCAGCAAACTCGTCATCATTGTTCAGTTGGGTTAGTCCTTGACCTTGCTGTTGTAACCTCAACCACTCTACTACAGAATACGCATCTTCTTTGTTTTCTATATCAGTCTCTGTCCACCCCGCATGGCCGAAACATTTTCTGATGGTTTTTTTACGAGTGTCCATGCTGTATGAATGAAATTTATGTCATCTTATAAAGTAACAGGGGATTCACTGCAGTTTTCCACATTATTCAGGATCCGCTTAACTAAAAGTTTTCTGTAGTGAACTTTAAGGGACCTTATGATGCCCTGATCCATCGGTTGCAGAACAGATGTGCAATTTGGGGGTAAAAAAAGAAATGTGATGTTTTTTAAACCGTTAACTTCCCTGATGGACTGTACAATTGTCAACAATTAAAAGAATCTTTCGATGTCTCAACTCTCAGTCCCACTTCAAAAGTTCTCCACTAAAAATTTCCGCTGTCATCTACGATTTTTTATTAAATTTATATATGACAGGAAGCTGATTCACACCTCTGAAACATCTTGGTTTTTAAAATTTCACTATGACGTCTAACTTCTTTTTTTCGAAACCGAACATGTTGGCACACGCGAGTACAGTTACCCTTTCTTTTGATAATCTGCCACCTATACAACGGCTTTTGTGACATAATTACAAGTCCGTTTTCAGACTTTTCTTTATTTTAACAAAAGATGGTCACACAGTCATAACGCCGGTTTTCCTTCACCCTTTATTGTTTGTACACGTGACACCTCGTGTTTATCCAGGACAACAATTAAAGTGCTGTAGAACCTTCTTCTTCCGTCGGAAGGAATACAATTGCAGTGAATAAGAACCCTTGTTAGCCTAATCAGCCATCTAATACTTCACAACGGAATTAGACGCAAATGCGCAGAAGATCTCGAAGATATTCAAGTTGGTTTTAGAAATGCTATGGGAACCAGGGAGGTACTTTTTGCGCTTAACATCCCATTACAAAAGTGCCGTGACCAAAGAAAAGATGTATTTGCATGTTTCGTGGACTTCGAAAAGGCATTCGATAAAGTACAGCATGTAAAATTAATACAAATACTAAAAAATATCGGAATAGATGACAAGGATATTCGTGTTATTAAAAATTTGTACTGGAATCAAACTGCTATCGTAAAAATGGGAGATAACTACATCGATGAAATCTCCATACAACGAGGAGTCATACAAGCTTGCATTTTGTCGCCAACATTGTTCAATGTTTAGTCCGACCAGTTATTTAAAAAGACGATACTTTAATTCTGTCAGATAATATTGAAGGTCTCCAAATTCTGCTTGATCGTATTCACGAGATAGGAGAGGAAATGGGCATTAAAATAAACTCAAACAAAACCAAACTTTTAGTGTTTAGTCGTGACCCACATCTCGATGCAAAGCTTCAATTAAACGGAATCCAAGTTGAGAAAGTTCACAAAATGACATATTTGGGAACTGTGATAACGGACCAACAAGAAATAAAACGTTGAATAGCAATGACTAAAATTAATTTTATGAATAATCATCTCAGTTTAGAACTAAGACAAAGAATGGTTAAGTGCTATGTGTTGTCCGTACTTTTGTATAGTGCAGAAGTGTGGACGCTAAAGTGTCGATCACGAACAAAATTGAAGCATTGGAAATGTGGGTTCATAGACGAATGCTGAAGATACCTTGGACAGTAAGAAAAACTAATGAAAAAGTACTAAGGAGCGTCAACAAAGACAGAGAACTGCTAAAGACTGTTAAACATCGAAAAATGTCTTATCTGGGACATATAGTAAGAGGAAGTCGATATAAACTATTACAACTGATCCTTTAAAGGCAAAATAGAGGGTCGTAGAGATGTAGGAAGAAAACAAGTTTCTTTCTTAAAAACATTGGTAAATGGACTCAGATATCAAATGCAGGACAATTATTTCATAATGCAGAAAAGCGAGAAGCCTTCACAATGGTGATCACCAACGTCTGATAATTTTGATATAGCACGCGAAGAAGAAGAGAAAGAACCCTTGTAATTGGCCGGCTAGAGTGACAATCTTCGCTGTGATTCGTCCACTCTGGCGACATTACATTTTGAAATACTCTCTTATTCGGTTGCCAAAGATATGGATATCAATCATGATAGACTCTTGCTGCAACAGTTCTAATTACATTCACCTAATATCCGTACCATGTTTCAGTTTTTCCCTTTCAAAATGTATTGTGAACTGTTGTAAAATAATTATTAACATCAAGACAATGTCAGTTTGATTTAAAACTGAATTGTCAATTTGGGAAACATAAAATTCTTTTATGATAAAAATGCTTCTCTTTCCTTGGATCTTTTTCTGCATAATCAGTTGGAGCAAGGTGTATTTCTATCCACGAGTAATATGTCCGAGATATTCCAATGTTCTTGTTTTAATTGTATATACAATTTCTATTTCTTTATCCATCCTTCTCAGAACCTCTTTGTTTGTGACATGTTCTGTCCACGATATTTTCAGAATTCTTCTGTACACCCACGGCTCAAATTATTTCAGTTTTTTCATTGATGTCGCATTCAAGGTCCAAGATTCCATTTCATAAAATAAAGTCGAAAAAACGTAGCACCTCGTCAACCTAACTCTTAGTTCCAATTTTAAATATCTTGTACATAGTACTCTTCTCATTTGGTTGAACTTCGCTCTAGCCTTTTCTATTCTGATTTAGATCTCTTGGATGTAATCATTTGTGGAGTTAATCATTGTTGCCAGATATGCATATTTGTCCACTTGTTCGACGGTAGTTGCGTTTATTAGAAGATTCTCGTTATTTCTTTGGGTTTTCGATATTCTCATAAATTTCGTCTTGTTCATCGTTAGACCATACCCTTTTCCATACTCCGCTATTCTGGTCACCAGTCTCTGAAGATCTTCATTATTTTCGACTGAGATTACAGTGTCGTCCGCATATCGAATGTTGTTAATGGAAACTCCATTTACCTTTATTCTAACTGTTCCAGCTGTTCGTTAACATGTACTTTTGCTCGCTGTTTATAGTATAAATTTGATATGTTCCTGAGATCGTTGTAGTCAATCTTCTTTGATTTCAGGACATTCATTAATTGTTTATGTCAGACTTTATCGAATGCTTTATTATAGTCAATAAAACATGCGTATATATCTTGATTGACGTCCAGGTATCTTTGTATCAGTATTTAATACCATGATACTATGATAAGAAGATAAGATATTGCGCATAAGTCGTGACGTCATTGGAGAGTTGCACGTTCAAAATGTCAGTTTTTTGTATGTGTCAATAAATAATCTTTAATAAATAGTTTGGAAATTAATTACTATTTATAACTGGGAATAAGCCACATTAAAGATAAAAATACATTTATTGACGTTTCAATTTCCAATTCGGAAATCGTTCTCAAAATACAAATAGTAAATTAAACAAATTTTGTTTTTTGTTACATAGTGAAAAAATTCTTCTGCTAATTTAATTTTATCTGACTCATTTATATTGACAATTCAGACATACATTATGCATTTTAAAGTAGACGACTTTAAAATGATATTGCCAATATTGTTGAGTTGCGCTCCTGGGACGACTTTACTTATAAGATAGTTCATTCGATTACATGAAATCAACTTTAACTTGAGAATATCCGTCAGAAAAAATCATAGCATGTAATTCGTCTTTAAAAAGACAAACACATGACATGATGACAGTAAAATTCTCCTGTTAGTGATTCCATAGTAAATTATGAGGGAAAAACCAGAACAACATAGCTTCAGAACAATATAAATAGTTTGGAGATATCCTTATGTGTACAATTATTTTGTTTGAAAACTTTGTTTGAAAACTTTGTTTTCAAACTTCCACAAAATGTATTTTAAATCTTATCACTCAGCTGTTTCGGCTGATAGCCTTTCTCAAGTGATCTATTTTTGGCTTGGGTCACTTGAGAAAGGCTATCAGCCGAAACAGCTGTAGTGATAAGATTTAAAATAAATTTTGTGGAAGTTTGAAAACAAAGTTTTCAGTGTTTTATTGTTACATAAAATGAATTTCCATCAAGTAACGGTCGAATCCATCAATTAGTAATTATTGAACTTTTTAACTTATTTTTGTCCAGTAATTTCATCACAGAATGCATACAAATCCCATTTAACTTTAACAAGAATTCAAATTCTACTCTCCAATGACGGCATGCGCGAACACGACCGATTTTGGGCTACGGGAAGATCCTATCTTGTTATTCATAGTATCATGTTTAATACTACAGTTTAATAAAGAAGCCGCCAAATATTAACTTTCGTTTTAAAAGTTTCTCATTTTCAGATTCAAAAATGAAATTTCCATAATAAATCAACAATATCCAGCAGAACCATTTGCCTTTTTGGACCCACCTCTTGTATTAGAATACAACGAAGGAAGAAAAATGCTTGCTGAAGTAGGAGTTGAGGTGGGCGAAGAAGAAGATTTGAGTACACCTTCAGAAAAATTGTTGGGACGTTTAGTTAAAGCCAAATACGATACCGATTTCTACATTTTGGACAAATTTCCTTTGGCTGTACGACCATTTTATACAATGCCCGATCCACAAAATCCTAAAACTTCTAATTCGTATGATATGTTCATGAGAGGTGAAGAAATCCTTAGCGGAGCTCAGAGGATTCACGATCCGGTATTTTTAACAGAAAGGGCAAAACATCATGGAATAGGTAATTTGTTGCTTTTGAATTAGAATACGAATGTTAGATAATACTTAGAAACCATTAATATGATATTGTAACAAAATATTTTGCCTACCACATAGGGTATAATTATAGGGGTTGAAATCTTGGGACACACCCTAAAATTTACAATTTAAATTATTACAATATTTTTAAATTGTATGAAAGCAATTATTATTTTAATGTTTATTTTTCCTTTCAAAAGTTTTAAACAAAAAAAAGTTACCTTGGTTTCACTAAATGTACTTGAGTTGTAAACTGGACTTACTAAAATTTCTGAGTGTGGGAACTGGAATTATACCGAAGATTTACTGCTACGCACGAACAAAAAGGACTGCATCTATGGTCTGGAAAGACGACCGGGGACAAACAAAGGTTAGGTTGAAATTAGCGGCACATTGGACACTAGAAACGGCTTCCTACAAAACTGGAATTATCTTGGTTATACAGGGTGGTGAATCGTCAAACGGGCCATGGGAAACTCATTGGGAAATTCTAAATCGTTGAATTCCTGCTTCCCTAATTATTTTACACCAAAAGTCATGGGAAACTATTTGTAGAGGACTCAAATATGTATCGAAAACAACTGTTAAAATTGTTCTACGATTTAAACGTATTCCAAAATTTTGCTAAAATATAATACATTTTTCAGGCCGCCCCTAAAAGTCAGGCCAGACGCCGTGAGAAAATGTGTATTACGTGTTGCGTTTTGTCATGTTGATGTTTCAGATATTTGACAATATTTAAATATGTATATTATATTTATCTATGATTTAGATGGCAAAAATTTTTATTTTGTGATTTATTGTTTAAAAAAAATTAAGTTGATTAAAAAATGTACTCAATTGAGGAGAAAAGAGCAATAATAAAAATGTTTTATTCATGGTTTATTAACATCTGTTATAGTTTTATGTTTAGAAATTATCATAAATTATTGTTAGGAATAAAGATCACAGTAACAGTATATTGGAATTCATTGAATTGTTGTATAACTTAACATGGAATTAAATTTTAGTGTATTAGAATATCTTACGTTAAATAATGATCCGGTAGTGGCAGGAAAAGGTTCGCGCTATTGCCTGAATACAACATTTTGCGATTTTTCGTCAACTGAGTACATTTCATTATATTGATCGATTTGTAAACAATATAATTTATTGTTCACAAAGTAATATTTGTTGTTCAGTAGTAGTAGTATTTAGTAAAATTCATTGTTTATAATTTAAAAAATTGACAATTCAAATTGTCAAACATCTGACATCAATATGATAAAACACACACGTCATAATATATATTCTTGCATTACGTGTAGCCTAACTTTTAGGGGTGGCCTGAAACATGTATTATATTTTGCAAAATTTTGAAGTACATTTGATTCGTAGAACGGTTTTAACATTTGTTTTTAATTCAGATTTTAGTCCTCTACAAATAGTTTTTTATGACTTTTGATCTATAATAATTAAGGAATCAGCAATTCAACAATTTAAAATTTCCCATTGAGTTTCCTATGGCCCGTTTGACGATTCACCACCCGGTATTTCAAATCTCTTGTACACGACACGAATCTCTTAGATACTTAGAAAAATAGTGATTACTATTTCTAAACTGACATATTACATAAAGTAAAATTCCACTAGTTTCAGTTTAATAAAAATATCATGATATTTTTATTAATCGACATATAATAAAGTTTTGTAGAAAAAACTTAACCTAACTTAACCAAACCTTACATATTCACCGACGATGCCAGTTGACAACACCGATCTTCCTCTTATCCTCATCTACACCATTCGTCCATCTCGGTTTTGATTTACTTCTTCATCAGTGTCCCTGGGCTTCGTTAATTAAATACGTCTTGCAGGGTAGTACATTTATTAAAACGGTGTATTTATGACACCAATTTTCTGCAAAATAGTTGAAATTTAAAGTTTTCTGGCAACAACGCAGTAATTTCCTTTTAAATTTTCTATTTTTGCAATAGGTGACAATGAAATGTTTAAATATGATATGGACATATAGTCGACACGTAATTTCGTGAGAAAATTTATAGGACCCAGAACGAGCAAAATCCTAGAAAATGGCAACAATGTTAGACTGGCCGCTGCTTCGTTGAGCAGTAGCGTAGATATCTAATTTTAAATTAGATAAAAAAGTTTTTATTTTTATTTAATTTTATTTAAGAAAAAGTTTCATTTTCTATAAAGTTTTAAGAAAAAATATTGGTGTTGTTAACTTCTGTGATATATCTAGGGAGTGATAACACTAATAGGCTCACTAAAGAGAACATATTGTAAAATAATGATACCTGTAAAAAATTGTTAATAAAAGTAATTATCACATACAATTAAACAATTTTTAGGTAAAAGTATTTTAGTATACAAACGTTTTAATAACACAACTACAAATCTTAATTATGCTGGATTTTCACAGATCCGATATCCGATGACACGAAATACGAAATTTTTTTGTACGAATATATTTGATTGTCGTATCCGAAATTTTTTAACATATATGTGTTATGTATCAGATTATTGGATGGATTGATATTTATTTCAATGAACTGTCAATAAATGTTAGCTGTTTTGTTTGATATATAATATATTATATTTAGCTTCGTTCTCGTAATTTTTGCCTCACTTAGTGTAGAAGACCCAAAAGCAACACTTTATTCATTGCATTTATATAATAATTAGGTCTTTGTACCATTTTAAATATATCTCAAATAGTAAACATAAACACCCCACAAAAAAAAGGTTAAGGTTCAAGTTAGAAATGTCAACAATGTCAAAATTCATCCGATTTTCGTGCAAAAGTTAAAATATTTTTAACTTCTTCCGATGACTTTTAATTTCGTACGAAAATTATACCTGTCCTTTTTCAACCAATGAAATTCTCTGAAATTTATATCGTATCATCGTACCATCGGATATCGGACCTGTGAAAATCCACCTTTATTGGTTGAGTGACAAGGTTTCATGTGTCACCTCGATTTGTCGATTTGTAGAATGTCATTCTAGTTTGGTTTTATTTATGTTCACGGATGGAACCTTGGCCACAGAATAATAAACAAATAATGTTTATTATTCTGTGCCTTGGCATTCTAATGAGTCAGAATTGCGTTGTTAGCCAGCGCTGTTGTCAGATCAAAATATAGGGAAGATCAGTTGGAACCTTTTCACACTAATAACTCCAAATATGCGATTTTGTTAGTTGGAACGCTGTCATTTTAACCTAACGATATGTTGTACGTTTTTGTTCTATCATGAAGTGTATTTGTACTCTATTTTCAAAGATATATAAGCAAAACGAGAATATGTACAATTACAATAAAAATAAAGGTTTCAACTAACACCTAGTTGGAAATAAGAACTTAAAAATCTACTCAGATTCACTGTTATCACTAGTATAAGTTGTATCTTCTAAATTTATAGTTAATTTGGTTATTGCTGGTAAATATTTAACATAGTCATTTTCCACTTTGATTACATGTTTGATTACATTTTTGCAGTTGGTTGCTGTGATCTTTGTGACTTCTCTTCTAATTAACTGGAGAGCAGTAGACAAAAATTTAGGAGCCACGTTTTTTCTTCTTTTATTTGCTTCAAGTTGGGTCCATATTAACTCTATTGGGTTCAATTTACAATAGTAAGGAGGAAGTCCAAGCACGGTATGCCCATTACTGCGAGTACAGTTATCAACAACATATACCTTCTGGTACTGTCTACTATAAACAATCTCCAACAATTGCTTTTTACTATGATGCCCCAAAGTACAAATCTCTCCCAAATAAAAATTCTTGAATTTGTTTCAAGTACTATTTGGAATTTTCTCATTAATCTTGAATGATATGATACGTTGTGCATATAATAATCACACTATATTTAGGTAATCTCGGAAGAAAAGATTCTTCAAACCATGATTCAAAAATTAAACTTTTCATGTCCTCATGATAATCTAAAGACGCATCTTTATTTTTTTTTGCAGATATTAATAATACATAACCGATCCATCTATTTTCTCCACCGCAGTGTAAAATTATAATTCTCTGTCCTGTCATGAATATCACACCAAGTCTCATCTAAATAAACAAGATTTCGTTTCATTTTTTGATACTCGGTTATCTATCGGATAGAAATGTCCCTTTAAGAAATAATTATTCTAGTACTTTCCATTAGTGTTTGACGCTTGTCTATAGTTTTTTACTTAAAATTATGGGTTTTAAGAAATCATCAAAGTGTTGTTGCTGAATATAAGAAAATATCCTTTCGAACCAGTTCACTTCGAAAGCTTTCAATAGTTGGAAAAATATTAGCCACTTCCATTTTATATATTGTTCTGATTATATGTTCCTTTAGCTGCGGTTCTATTTGTGTGAATTCGCACAATCCTTTCTCACCTGTCTAGAAGATGTTGCTCCTATAGTCTTGTATCAGATTGCTTTCGACACTCTGATAAACATGTTTCTACAATTGTTTCTTATTTAGACAATTTAGAACACAATCCTTCATAAACATGTTTCAGCATATATTTGGGATCATCAGAGAGATATTGAAAATGTCGTTTACATTTTACTACACAGCTTTGTAAATATTCCAATTGATTAGAGGGTTCCACTGGATTTTCAGCTGCAGAATTATTATCACACCACGGGTGCCACATTTTAAAAGTATCTTCGTAAAATTATAAAGTTTACTGTTCTTTTACATATTTTTACGTACTTTCTTTCTTTGTGAGTTTTATAGAAACTAACTTCTGTTTTTTTTTTTTCAAAAAAACATTGAACGTTTACATCTATGGTTCCTGAGTTGAACTTTTTTTATACTTGAACCTTCCATATCCTCATGATAATCTAGATTCACGTCTTTCATTTTTTTTGCAGATATTAATAATACATCGTCGATGTATCCATTTTCTACACCGCAGTGTAAAATTATAATTCTGTCCTTTATTGGGCGGTACTGAATTAGAACACTTTTTGTTATTATTCGTCCAACTTATTTTCACCGTGTCATAATACCATACCAGGTTTTATCCAAATAAACAATATTTCGTTTAAAAATAAAGTTTAAAATAAAGTAAAATATTATTCCTACCTACCCAAGTGTAAACCACTGGACGGTCAAAACGAAATTTATTTGGATAAACTACCTTATAGTTTCGGTCGCTCATGCAAATATTGTTATCTTAGGCAAAGAATGCATCAATGATAACTTTATCTGGGCGACTGTACATATCTTCAAACATAATACCAGGCACATCTGAATGTAAATATCGATGGGGATATTAAAACTTTACATCTCAGTCATTGATAATTTTGCAGTTAATAACTACTCCTAGTAGAGTACTTTTATTTTAATTTTTATTGCCTGCTTTTATTACAGATAAATATATTCTTACACAGTCTCACCGAAATACGAGGCGACTATACCACATGATTCTTGTCATATATCGTCCGAAAATTTTCTTCAACTGGTTGTTTATCATACTTTATATTATTGCAGATATATCCACGATTGCAGCTTACATTGATGCTTTTAAATATGGATGCCCACCTCACGCTGGAGGAGGAATTGGATTGGAAAGGGTTGTAATGTTGTATTTGGGACTGGACAACATTAGGAAAACTTCAATGTTCCCACGTGATCCAAAGCGCGTGACTCCCTAAGATAGTTTTTAATGCATATATTTTATAAATAAAAATGTAGATATGACGAAATTTGTTTTTTTTTTTAACTTAATATATTTTGTCTCAAATGGAATCCAAATCAAGGGAATCAATAGCTGGAAAGTTTCGAAAACGCAACATCGGAAAAATAACTGATGTTGAAGGCAATCTTGTCATAACCAAAGATAACAAAAAAGTATGGGAAGAATACTTTTCCATGACCTTAGAACAATACAAAGCCCACCATTAAAGAAAATTCAGGTCCCGAAATCCTACCAGAAGAAATAATGGCAGCCGTCAGAGAAATGAAGGATGGAAAGGCACCGGGACTTGATGAAATTCCTGCAGAACTGCTGAAGCTATTAGATACAGAACAAATAAAAATAATAACTGATATATTTAATGAAATATACAAGGCAGGAAAAATACCAGTAGAGTGGCTCAAATCAGAGTTCGTACCATTGCCCAAAAAACCAGGAGCAAAAGTTTGTGAAGACTATAGGACCATAAGCCTAATGAGCCACCTGCTGAAGCTGTTTTTAAAAGTCATCCACAAAATAATTTACCGGAAATGCGAGGAACAAATTGCGCCCAATCAGTTTGGATCTGTGAACGCCGTTGGTACGAGGGAAGCTTTATTTAGCGTACAGGTATTGTTTCAGAAATGTAGAGATGTCAGCTGTAATGTTTTTGCATGCCTGATTGACTACATGAAGGCGTTCTGACGGAAGAGACTTAAAAATAATAGCTAACCTATATTGGAATCAATCAGCGGTGCTTCGAATAGATAGAGAATACATAGATTAGGTCAAAATCTTAAGGGGAGTGAGACAGTGGTGCATAATTTCACCACTGATATTCAATTTGTACTCTGAGCACATTCTTGAAGAGGTCCTAAAAGAGCATGGTATAAAATGACCTCAATACAGCTATTCCGTATAGCAACCAACAAAGTCATAGCCAAAATGATCGTCAAAGTTCAAAACGAACAGGCACACTAAGAAGAAGGAATCCAAATAAAATAGATTGAATAAACTACATTTTACCAAGTCAATAAAAAGAAATGATTTTATGGAACTGGCATAACTCTGCTTTGCTAGTCCCAAACCTGGGATCCTGTCATTCGAGTAATGAGGAGAAGTAATAATATCATACAAAGACTTATCTGGATCTGGCTGATAGAGACTCTGCCTTGAGTTACAATAATCTCTCATCCGCAGCTTCAAAAGTAGCTTTTTGAAGCTACATAATTAAGTGTTTTAGTTGAAACGATAAAAAAAATCCTTTGTACCCAAAGAAGACTATACAGCAGAAGACAGTTACGGGTTCCCGAGTTATCGATGCAGCACAAGATTAATCACATCAATTGGGGTCTTCAACACCAAACTGGAACATTGAAGATGGCAAAATATGCTATTTTCAGACGAGAACAGGAATTGTGTTAAATCAGATGACCGACTAATTTGTGTCGACAACGAAATGTTGACAATTTCTTTATTATTCTCATAAGATCAATAAAAATTATCACTTCCATTGATCGGTCACTATGGAATTTCCATTGTTAGAGCCTAATCTTCAAAACCTATAGCATGAAATTTCGATTTTGAGTTTTGGCAACAAATATGAGGTGTTTGAAATGTACCTAAAGAACTCTTACTTTAAACTTTAACATTAAAAAGCATTTAAAACTCCTTCTTTTAAATTAAATTTTTCTCTTGGAAACATTTCTTTTGGCGTGAGATCGTTTATAATTTTAAAGTTTAAATTAAGAAAACGCAAAATTGAAATTTCATGTTTTAGCTTTTAAGATAGACTCTACAATAATGAAAATTTTACAGCGACTTGCTAATGAAAGTGATAAATTTTATTGATCTCATAAGAATTTATCTCACAACTTTATAGAAACTGACTTTATTTGCGGCAAAATGCAACAGTTACAATCGAAAGCTGCACTGTTCACCTTTAAATTTTTTTTTGATACGCGTTGTTTCTGAGGACGGTGTCTTTTCTACACAAAAAGTGATTACAAATATTTTTGTCCAAATTGTTTCAACTACAGTTCTTCTTTGAAAAAAATTTTTATACTCCGAACAGATTCTTCGCAAATCGATATTTTCCGTTTTCTGACTGCCGAGTAAATACTTAACGTTTATTTTAAAAATCCCCTAATCAGCGTATCGTCTGCGGTTGAGGGGTGGTGAAGGCAATTAAAATTTAATGACTTTTTTCGTCTGAGAATGTAGGGCTATCGAATATCATATATTATAAGAATATAGTTAAAGTTAGTTAGTCGAATTTGTATCACCGACACATACTGAATTAAATAAAACTTTTGTGTATTTTAATACAAAAGTAATTTGTAACGTTGAAAGTACTTTCCACTATTTTCTGCTCATACTATTTGATTTTCATTGATAATAAGTTCTTTTTCCTTTGTTTGTATTCCTATATTTTATTTCAATATTTTCCTATTACAAATAAATCCGCAGATTAATTTCTTAAGTCCCCTCGTAGTCCTACCTTCGCTTACTTTATCGTACAAGAAACAGAAACCCCACTCCTAAATAATTTACTTCTATTAATCCGATCCGATTTAATTTCTTTTTAAAAATAAACCATCAAACGAAAAGGTATTATTAAAACAATAAGTCCTCGTGGTCATAAACTTCCAACGGTCTGGCCACCTTGGTTTTTATTCAAGAGAATCCACCTTGATTTTTATTCAAGAAAATACACCTTGATTATGATATAAGAAAATTTACGTTGACATGGATTTTTGGGTCGAAGAATACGAAAATAAAATTATTTTTTTTTTTAATAAGAAATCCATCTCGATTTTGAAAATCCGCATGGCTTTGGATTGGAGAGGGATCCACATGGTTTCGGCTTAGCGGCATGGTCTTTGCAGACATTGTATGGTCCGAGTTGCGAAGAGAACAGCAGGGTGATTTCTCATAGAGTAGAGCTAAGTTTCTTTATTTCTTGAGATTTTGTATATAGATGCTTAATTCCCTGTTGTTAGAACCTCAATTTAATTGTTATTACATTTTGATTTATTAAAATATAAATAAATAAAGATATGTGTTAAAGAAATTATTTTATTAATAATTCCCGATTTCTCAAATTAAGTTAGTTTATGCCGAACATCACCCCTGAGGGATTTCAATGTGCAATGGGTGAGCTAGCCGTTACAAATTTTTGTAATAAAAATTTAATTTTGTATTTTTTCGAACCAGGAGTCTCTTGCGAAAATTAATCGTAGGACATTCCAAACGTAATTTTTATCCTACGAGAGGGAAAAGCACGGAGGTAGGAGCGAAAAACATTTTTGCATCTTTTTTGGGGTCCCAAAATTTGCATTCTCAGCAACATTCAGTTTGTTTGTTTTATAGTTTTTCCTGACGACTGTACTAAGGGGTCTAGTTATCTACTAATTCATATTATTCATATTTTTCAAAATTAAGTTAGAACTTATTTTCTGATTCTTCATGTTTGATTACACTAAATTAATTATTGTTCACCGTAATGGAATTTTTTTCTCCGCAATGACAGGTGGAGAGGTGTGATCAATGTGATATTAACACGGGCAACTCTATGTACACATGGATTGTGATAAGTGTTGTCTATTAAGGACGTTGCTGTTGCATAAAAATAAAATAACTTTTTGAAGAGATTAGAGAAGGTAATGTCGTCCTTTCGGGAGCATTACGTTACATTTCAATCAAATTATCTTTTAATTAATGCCCATGTAAACAATGTTAGTTTTTAGGTTTAAAATTATAATATTCAAATAATTGCATTCCATATTAAATTTTATCAGCAAATTGAAGTTAGTCATATATAGATAACAAGCACAGATAACATTGGCCACACAATACACAGATTACAGACAGAATAACCACAAATAAATCAAAACAAAACAATCTGCTAACTAAGGCTAAGATAAAGTGAAAATACACACTACCTATAAGAATCCTAAAAATAAACGCGCTATATATTTTTTTTGAATAGTGTGGGGTATTTATATATTGTGATAGTATAAAGTGATTTATTTAGGGAAGACAATCAAGCCTGGAAAAGTCCTGGCGTCCCAATTATGTAATATTAAATTTGGAAAGCTATAAAGATGCAGGTAGGAATATGGAAGAAAATAGCAGATCTTGGATCTGGTGCTTTCGGCGTGGTTTCATTGTGGCAAAATACAGAAAATGAGGACTGCGCTGCAATAAAAATGTGTAAGTTCAGAACAGATTCCAATTTAACACAGAGACAAAAGGAGCGTTGGAAACATGAAGTAGATAAAATCAAAAGTATAAATCATCCAAATATAATAAAATACAAAGTTATTCCAGAAGATTTAGAGAAACATTTAATGGCAAATAGTACTACCAGTATGCCATTACTTCCCATGGAATACTGCCGAAAAGGAAATTTGCGTCATGTTCTACAGAAGCCTTCTAATAGCTCAGGGTTACCAGAGGAGGAAGTGAGATGTATTCTTGGTGACATTTCTAGTGGTCTTGCACATTTGCATAAGCTTAAGGTTACACATAGAGACATTAAGCCTGATAATATAGTTTTACAACATTGCGAAGAAAGAAAAACACAGACTATTTATAAGATTATTGATCTTGGTTATGCGAAGGAATTGGGAGACTCCACAGTAAGTTTTGTTGGTACTATGCATTATTTAGCTCCAGAAATTTTTGAAGCAAAGAATTATAATAAAAGTGTTGATTATTGGTCTATGGGTATACTAACATTTGAAATTATTTGTGGATTTCTACCATTTTTAGCAAATCTTACACCTTTTGAGAGGTTTGAAAAAATTTGCAACAAACAATACAATGACATTTGTATCCTCATGAGCTATTCAGGGCAAATTACTTATTCACAGAACATTAGAAAAGAAACTTATATTTCAACATGGTTGAAACAACATTTGGAAATCTGGCTAAGACATGTTCTTACTTATGACCAAAATGTTAGAGCTGGGAATTTTCCAAATAATGTTGAACCATTGGAATATTTAAGCAATATTTTACAGAAAAAAGTAGTTAATGTTTTTTCATTGTGTAAATTAGAATATTATTCTTATGAAATAATGGAAGGTACTCTTGTTGGCACTCTAAAAGACTGGATTTCTAGAGATATTAAAGTTCCTAAAGATGAACTTTTGTTATTTGTATTTAAAGATAATTTTAATGTCCAAGATAATGATGAATTGTTGAGTATTATTGGCAATGACTACATATATGTAACTAGAAAACGATTTTTACCAGAAAATCTCAGCTATAATTTTCCAAAGCTTATAAGAGAAGTAATGAAGTCAGTAGAAAAGTTTAACAAAAGCTATGTAAGGGGTTTAATATCACAATTTGTATTCTTTGTTACTCAAGAAAAACATATATCATTTCACTTTAGAACATGTTTTCATATATATCTCAATTTCCTAAATCATACTTTAAACACCATTAAAAGTTCAAAAGCCTCTGCAGCGGCTACTGTAAAACAATTGGTCACTAGAATTGACTGCTACAACAAAATGAAAGCTGATGTTGGAAATATTGATTTAAAAAACAATTCTATTTATGAGGAATGTTTAAATCATGCACAGAGGCTTCTAGCAGGCTCAGAAAGAAGTATTACTAAGTTTAGTGAACTTGAGAGAAAGATACACTCAGTAAGTAGAAGGTTAAAAGTTCTCTCAAGTTTAACTTCAAATATTTTAGACATTGTTAATAGATATAACCTTGATGATCATTTCGACAGTGCCTTAATTTTAATCGACAAAGCAAACATACATGATCCTAATAAACTTAAAGAATTACTTTGTGGTATGATAAAATTAATATCAAATACAATTAAAGTCAGAGAAAATACTTTGAAAAATAAAGAGTTGGTGGCATTTTCAAGGATAGTAGGTAATATCATGTGCCACTGCTTTGAGTTGTTAAACTGGATTAAAAGTTACATCAGTTATAATGAAGAGATAATGAAGTCATTTGAGCAAAACAAAACTATTTATCTAGATATTCTTCTTAAGGCTGCACAGAAGCCCAAAGTAGAACCAGAAGGAACTGTTTCTGATAATGTATCCTTAACTGGTAGTTTAAATCAAGAATTGATTAATCTTCCTTTGCCATTTTTATTGCAAGAAAATCAAGAGCTTCGATATGAATTTGAGGAGGCATTATCTTCTGGCATTTCTGACCATAAAAATTCTGTGAATTGTTTAAAGTTGTTATAAACAAATGTGATTATGTTTGTTGTGATTTTTTTATTAATTTTTTAATATAATATATTATAAAAAATGTTATTCAATACAAGGGTTTTGTAAACCAAGATTTGTATAGTACTATCTAGTCTAGATGCTAATATAACTGCATTATCTACATCCTCATGGATATACTATGCAAATGATTTTTTTGAGCTTGTCTCTTGACATTCTATGAACTTTGTGCCAGAAGCACTGTTCTTTTGAATTCTTCAAGGTATGCATCACTATTTTTCTGTATTGATACTCAATAAAGCTGAAGTAAGATAAAACATTCTTATTGGATGTATATGTAGTAGTCAATATTGTGCTCTTAATTTGTATGTGATTCTCCTAAATAATGTCCATCCATAATGTTATTGCATACATAATACAAATAGCTCCTTTGATTTTCTTTATATACAGCTACAGCTATGTGGAAGATCCATTAATTACTCCAATAAATTTCTTTAAATATTAAAATTTTTGGTATTTTCAGTAACTTACTACATATATGCATGTAACTATATATCTGATATATTAGTGCAATAAAGAAATAACACTCATTTTGTTCGTTCATACCTCAAATTTGATCTATTTTCCCATCAATCAATTTTGATTGTCAATATCTTAGTAGGTACTCCAGCAGTGTGATTTAATACGGAACAGGATTGAATGGATGGTTTTTTCTAAGCCAAGCTAACTAAAGTTTACTGAAATAAACTTAACTTATGCTTATCAAATGTTACATAACCTAACTGAACCTCATCACATCACCTAATCTCCTTTGAAGGGAGATCATTTGTAATGTGAAAGATTAAAATTAGCGTTTTTAGGCATATTTCAAATGCCTCATATTTAATTACTATTTAACTGGGAATAAGCCACAATTATAGGTTAAAGTACTTTTCAAAAGAAAAGGTAAAAAAGGATTTTTGAAGTGTGTATATTTTAAATAATTCCTAGCTGAGCGCTTTCTGCTTTACAAAGCCATCATCGGAGCTATGGTCAATTTATAAATACCACTACAATGGAGAGATCTCATTTCCTTATATGTAGAAATATTGATTTTTTAGTTGTTAAAATTCTTAAAAAACATATAAAAAACCGACACTGGACTATTCTGTCTATGGTCGGTTCTTACACCCGTACCATGACAAAAAATTTTTCAATTTTTTTAATGTGTCTGTGAAGTCCAGTGTCGGTTTTTTATGTTTTTTATATGTTTTTTAAGAATTTTAACAACTAAAAAATCAATATTTCTACATATAAGGAAATGAGATCTCTCCATTGTAGTGGTATTTATAAATTGACCACAGCTCCGATGATGGCTTTGTAAAGCCGAAAGCGCTCAGCTAGGAATTATTTAAAATATACACACTTCAAAAATACTTTTTTATCTTTTCTTTTGACTTGTCATAAGTGTGTACAAAAAACATATCAGTCTTTTGATTGTTAAAGTACTTTTATTGAAGCTTCCACTTTGGAAATTGAAGTGGAAATTGAAATGTCAATAAATGTACTTTAACCTTTAATTGTGGCTTATTCCCAGTTAAAAAATAATTAATTTAAAATGCCTCATATTTGTTGCCAAAAACTCAAAATAGAAAATTTTAATATATAAAATTTTATTGATCTCGTGAGAATCGTAAAAATGACAAAAATCTCGCAGTGTTTATTATTTAACAGCTTTATAGAAACTGGCATCTTTTCTGGGGGTCCCAAAATTGAGATTTTCAGCAAAATTCAGCTTGTTTGTCTAGTTTTAGAGATCAAGTCTCTGACAACTAGACTAGTATTGTGTTTCACTAACTATTTCTACATTCTCTCTCTCTGTATATATATATATATATATATATATATATATATATATATATATATATATATATATATATATATATGTATATCTCTCTATTAGATTTAATATTTCAAACACCTTTTTATAGTAAACTCTTGTACAGCTCTCTGATACTTGATTAAATCATTATATGGTTTAATAATTTTTATGTTCCGTATTGGATACTCAAGTGGAAATTGTATTAATGTTCCCATTCTACCACAACTGTAGTGTACTACAGTGTTAGTGCACTATAGCACATATTCGATTTATTGCATTGATAAAGCTTGTGTGGGAATTCTATTTTGGTGTTTTACAAAATTTAATCTGTTCATGGATTCTATATATGAGTTTTATCACGTTTCTCTTATTTAGTTTTGTTGTTTTATGAATAGGTCAGAAGGATGATATTTAAGATGTAGTTCCTCTCCTGTAGTTTGGGCTGCTTTTGCTAGTCTATCTACTATTTCTTTGTCTGTTATACCTATGTGTCCCTTTATCCATTAAATAAATGATACATTTTTGTAGTGAATTTCATTGTGTACATTCAGAATTCACTTCAGTGTGACTTATTGAATCAGTAAAATTATCCACCCATCAGAAATATTTCTTTCCAAACGTTCATCACTATTCCGTTAGTCCTGCTTGGTCTGTTTTTCCATATCTTGGTTATTTCCTTTAAACAATTCCTCAGAGTATTTTACCCATACATTTAATTTCCTTCCTGTATATCATATTATTATTTTCCTGTATTTTACAATTCTTGATCTGTCTGAATCTGTTTTCCTATTTCTTGTAACTTTTTGGTTATTGTTTATATGAATTTTGGTCTTCCAAATAATCTCGTTTTCTCGTATGCACATTTTTTCCCCCTAGTGCAAATTTGTTGTAAGATTTCAGTTTACCACTAAATTTGTTTGTATAATAATTGTACTTTCACATTTTTTTCCTTTTTAATCTCAATTAAATTATTTCTGCAACCTCTTTCACTATTATCAGAATTTATTGGAATCATCATCTACTTACTTAAAGTGGATCATTTTGCATTAATTTCTCAGAAATCAAGTTCAGTCAATTCAAATAAAACCAATATTCTTTACAAGTAAAAAATATACATATCACATTATATTCAAATCTAAGCGCGCTATTTGTGCTAAATATATTAATATTTTTAAAATAAATTATTACATATTTGAAATATAAACCAAACAATTCTTGTATTGAATCAATATATTTTTGCCAAAACAAAGCTACAGTGCATAATGGAAATACAGCTAGTTTATTTAAAAGAATATTTTGCTGTTCAATTAATGTGTTTCTGCATCCTATTAAGATATAATGTAAATGCGCTAATGACTGAGTCACCAAAGGAAGACGATTATAGTTGGTACTAAACCACATCAACCTTGGAAATACGAATGCCAAAAAAAAAACTCTAAAAACATTGATTATCATACTGTATTGCGCGACAGGATCGTATTTGCATGTAGTGTAAAGTAAAGCTCACATGAACTGCAAAATTTTTACATTTGAATTCTACATTAGATAGAGAGCAAACGGTTTAAAGTATAATTTAATAAAACTACTACGTAATTAACTCTTAACTGGTGACCCTATTTTTAATTACATAAATGGTCACCATGAGTCTGACAGACTCCTGGCTAAAACAAGCTGTTTTTGTCAAGCTGGCACCTAAAAATGCAATAAAACAGTTTTTAATAATAAAACAATATTGTAATGTCATTTTTATTTAGTGAAAAAGAAAAAAATCAAACTATAGAACTTATAACAAAAACAGAAGAAATGGTAACATGTTTTAGTCCAGGCTGTGAGGCCGCTCCCGTTGGGAAAATGTTTCTGATTCGGTTTCTTCGCGGATTCCGGTTCAAAAATGTCCCCTTTAAACAAATCTGAAGGGTGCCGGGCGAAATTTTTGGGCAGAAATTGTTTAAACAATTTTTTTAAACAAAGTCCAAAAATATTTTTTTTTAATCTGGAAAACGTTTTTTTTTTTAGGTTTTTTGGGCCATTTTAAACAAAAAAAGTCTCTTGTCATTTTTCTCTAAATTTGATAGTTTTCGAGTTATAAGCGATTTAAAGTCTGAAAAACGCGAAAATATGCATTTTTGAGGCTTGAAAACACATATGTAAAATATTATTTTTGAGGTTACCAAGTGTCTAAATTAAAGTTTAAACATTAAACTTCAAGATTGTGAAGAGTAATTGGGGCTTATTTTAATTTAGACCGTAGTTTTTTAATTGTTAAGTATGCGCATACACTCGATTTTTCAGCCGCCGCGGCGCCGCGCGCTACCGTGCGCCTCTATCGTACTTATGTATAGTTTACATATACTTACAAATAATTATTATTTATTGAGTATATATTTATTTATATCAATTGAGTTATAATATAAATTTCGTCTAAAGTCTAATAATAGTTACATAAAATAATTGTACAAAATATTGTTAAATAACACACTAATATCGCTCAGTAAAAGTATCTTTGTTTTCACAAAAATCTAAATCACATCCACATAATGGTACACAGTTGACATGATTTTTCTTGCAGTTGCAAGCATTAGTTGCAAGTCTTTTTGCATTTGCACGGTTTCCCAACCCACCACTATCAGACATATAATATCCATATTGTGTAAAATCGAGTTTGATAGCGGGAATATATGGCATTTCGCCAAATATATGTTTTAGCGAAAGCTCTTAACAAGTGTTGGTAAAGTGCGTCAGAGATACAAGGTATATTGGCTAGATTAAATTAAATTTTTCAGTCACACTGTCTTTTCGTCGAAGACCAGCATTTTGTATTGTTATGTAAAAATCTACTTTAGGTTTTTGCACTAACTTAATATTGTTGATGTTATTACAAAAAATACAAACTAAATTTTCTTCGGTAAGTTTTCATTTAAGAAGAGGTACGGAAAAAGACATTTTAAATCCATTCATAATTTTTTTAATAACACATTAATAATATAATACCCTTTTAATGGCCATTAAACAATAGTCTTCCTAATGATCGTTTAAGTAATAACAAATCAAGTATGAGCGCGCGATTTTTAAACAGGTAAAAACTTGCATTTTTGCGATAGTATATTTTTTTTAAACACCGCACAATTTAAAATTAAGTTTACTAATATTAATATTTACTGCATTGTATTATTTAAATAATAATTTAAAAATATTATTTACAATTGATATAAATAAATATATACTCAATAAATAATAATTATATTGTTCAAATTTGGAAGAAAAAAAAAACTATATACGGTTATTACATTGCGATGATTGATTTATTTAATTAGCCCAATGACAATAATTAATACCTACATAAATAAATTATGGAAAAAACTATGTTAATAAACTTCAAGGATTTGTTCGGCTTTTTTTGCGTAAGTGTATATGTAAACTATGCATAAGTACGATAGAAGCGCACTCTAGCGCGCCGCGCCGCGGCGGCTGAAAAATCGAGTGTACGCGCATATTATTTAACAATTAAAAAACAACGGTCTAAATTAAAATAAGCCCCGATTACTCTTCACAATCTTGAAGTTGAATGTTTAAACTTCAATTTAGACACTTGGTAACCTCAAAAATAATAATTTACATATGTGTTTTCAAGCCTGAAAAATGCGTATTTTCGCGTTTTTCAGACTTTAAATCGCTTATAACTCAAAAACTATCAACTTTAGAGAAAAATGACAAGAGACCTTTTTTT